ACTGATGCACGTTGACATGGCGAAAACGTTCTTCGGCAAACCATGCTGCTTCTTCCAGTCGACAGCCGATTCCCTGATTTCGTCCTTGCTCTGATCATATTCGAACATTATGCTGCTCTCCTTGGTCACCGGGAAGTAGTGTTTCTTGTATATGTCATCTACCACCTCTCTCAGTATTTTCGCCCTTATCAATGATCGTTGGACTTGATAGGCTGATAATTCTCGATGATCATTGCTCTTGAACTTCTTCTCGTCGACGTACACGTACCGATAAGGCTCATTCTCATTGTCCTCATAACCATACCATTCCTCTTTTCGTTCCCATTGCCTTCTCTCGTCTTCGAGATAGGTGATCTCTCCATTCTCGTCGACGTCGAGTACTTCCTTGAACCATACCATTTTCTCGGGGATCTCGGACTCGCCAGACCATCTCGATGATTCGCTCATCGCGTCGTCATCATGCTCGTGGTAGACAGTCTCGGCTTCATCCGGTTCGACCTGGTCGACGTCCTTCTTGAAGCTGACCTTTCCCGCAGGAGCTGATTGCTTCAGGACTATCGCAGGCATCGCGATGGCCCTCCTTGCAATAGCCGGTGCTGCGGCCTTTGCGGCAGCCTTCGACTTGGCTTGCGCCTTGTCGTTTGACGTCGCCGGAGCTGAATTGTTCTTGATGAGCTCGTGCCTGTACTTGCAGGCGCTCCCCCTGTCGCACTTCCCCTTCTGAAATGCGAAGCATGCTCCATCATCCCTCTTTGGTGACGACGATCTGGATTTGGACTTACCCTTTCCTTTCCCCTTGGGCATGTTCTCCAGCTTGTGCTCCGTCTTCTTGCTGTGGGAAAATGTGCATTCATTTCCTTTCACGCATCCCTTCGCCGACTTGAAGTGATACCAACAGGGGTTGTCTTTGCCTCCGCCCGGACTCTTGCCTCTATCGCTGGCACCGTCGGACTTGCCGTTCTTGCCAGCGTGGCCCTTTGCCTTGGCTTTTGGGAGTACAGGAGCAGCATCAGGTCCGCCGGGTTTCCCCTTTCTGCCCTTGCCACCCTGGTTCTCCTGTTTGCCAGTGGCTGGAGCCGCATCTCTGCCGCCTGACTTCATCATTGACTTGACCGATCTTTCCTTCATGTCAAGCATCAGGTCCTCCCGATCCGCCTTGATCTGATGGTCAATCAGCGCCAATAAGAATTCATACGTTTTCTGAGGATGCTTGTCCGGCAGTCTGTGGTAGGCGTTGAGGCCGAATTCCATCTTCTTGCTCCCCTTGATTTTCCTGTAAAGGATATCTCTGAGAGCCAACTTACTGGGTCTGTCCTCGCTCCTCATCTTCAGCAGCAAATCATACCATTTGTTCCTGAACATAACCAAGTTCTTGTCTCCAGGAAAGTCAAGGTTGAATAGGTGCTCGATGTGGTAGACAAGATCCGTTCTATCAGATGTTCTGAATGATTGCATAACCAATGCCACCAACTCTCGTCCCTTCACGATCACCCCTTGTTGATGTCGTAGTTCCGAGTGCCGCGTAGCATCGAGGTACACGTCTTTGGCTTCGTCAGGTGCTTGTTTCAACATGTTCTGCATGCCCATGGCCATCTTAATATCTATCGTAGCAAATCTGTCGCCGCCTGAATCGCTAAGCATATTCAGGTCTGGGTTTAACCCAAGAGCTTGTTCCAACCATTTTGTCCATGTGTCTGTATCTGGATCTGCGCATGCGCTCAGAACATTCATCAGCAGTTGCATCTTCCAGTTATCAAGTTGGTGGATCTTCGGCCAAGCAGGAATAGATACCCTCTCAGCCTCCTTCCTCGAGATCCTCGGTCTATCGTTCTTGATCTCTCGATCATCTCTCGATCTTCTTCGTCTCCTCCGTGTCCGATTGTTATCTTCTTCCTCTTCTTCTTCCTCGTCTTCTTCATCCTCTTCGTCGTCGTCGTCCTCGTCCTCATCATCGGGTGGGTCATCCGGAGGTCCTCCTCCGCCACCTGTGAGGCTCAACTGACGTCGACTTGCTCCCTGCCTATTTCCACTAGGCGAGAATCCACCGTAATCCAATGGGGGCGTAGTACCGTTGTTTCCCCCTCCATCACCGCCACCAGTCGCAGTAGTGGATTGTGGGACATGTCCGACAACCCCCTGCATCTGGGATAGGTGTACATCGATCATTGGATCACCAAAAGACGGAAAGAGTATCGAACCTGGCATCAGCGACGAATTAGGGGTCATATTTGAAGACGATGACGGGACTAACCCAGCCACCTTCTTGTCTACCCTAGTTGAATTAGCTTGGGGTCCTCCCTCAGCGCGTTTCACTACTGCTCGTTCACGATGTCCATCTTTGCTGCTGGAGGCTTCCTGTGTCTCCAGCTTCTTGTGTGCACGTAGTTCCTCATTGTCAGCATCGAGTTGGCGAACAAAGCTCTCTTCTTGCCTGAGCGTCGCCTCCCTTTCCTTCAGTTGCCCGTGAAGCTCATGCATCTCTTCGAGGTATTCGTCGTACACTCCCTTAGCTGTCAATCTCCAGTACTCAGCCTCCTTTGACTTCTCGTCAATCGTGCACCGTTCTTCTTGTTTTGCTTCTTTGACCTGGGCTAGCTCCCAGATCGCATCTTGACGATGACCACCCTCGACAGCAATCATCTGGTCCTTCATCGACACGTCGGATTCATACTGTTTGACGATCTCTTCCTTCTCGCGAAGCAAACATTCTGCTCTCTTTGATTCTTGTTCCGCAAATACTGTAACGTCATTCAGTCTCGCCATCAGCTGTTCCCTGGAGTCCTCCATAGAGTACGTCTCGGGGCGCTTGACGAGTGCGTGCTCCAACTGTGATTTCAGACTTTGGACCATCTCCTCCTCGTTGAACTTCTCGATAGATGTAGATGATTCGATGCCTCTGATCTGTTGCTGATAAACTGATATCTGCTGTGAAGCTTCACGGTGTATCTGATTTGCACGTATAGCTGACTCCTGCGCGGCCGACTTCTCGCTTGCCATGTAGGATTTCATCACTGCAATCTCCCGCTTCTGCTCCATGATAGTTCCTTCAGCTTGTCTCATCTGTTGCATTATAACATTCGACTCCATGTCTTTCTGTTCCCCGTACTGATATGCGTTCATTTCCACCTTGCGCATCTGTTGGGCTTCTTCCTCAAACTTGCGCCATGCCTCAGCCATGTGGTGTTGGTGGTGACTCACTAGATGTCCCGACTGCTTGCTGGCAATCTCGCATCGTCTTTCCAGCTCCTGGATCCGGATGGTGCTTCCATAGTCTTCTTGATGAAGATTCGCCATCGCTGCCGACATTTCATCAAGTGTCTTTTGATATTCCCCGATCTCCACTCCATCTTGTTCTTCTCTTTAATCGCGGCGCGAAACTCAGCACTGGTGGGTGATTTTGACCTCCCACCCTTTGATGTTGACCTCACGCCCTTCTGCGACGTCCGTGGTGTCGCAGGCGAAGATGACGATCTTCTCGGTGGGGATTCTCTCTGCTTCGACTCCTGATGAACATCGATCTGCTTCCATGATCTTGTGGGAGTGGATATGTCGCTGAATAGCGCGGATCCTCCGCTCCCAGGTTCATCCTGTGAATCTGCGATCATATCCATCACCGCAGGAAGAGCCATCAATCCATTGGATCCCTCTGAGCTGCTGTTCCCAAAAGTTGCAGTACTTGGGCTCGCTGAAGACGCCATTGTACTGTGTAGGTTATCGTTCCTTTATTGTCCCTGTACCCGCAATAAACCAGCTGTCTCCCTGTCCAGTGTAGAGCTTGTCGATACGGCTGATAACCTGTCAAGAGACGGCAAGGTGACGTCCCGTGGGACGCTATGCACCGAACCCTCCAGCTGTAATACCAACCACGTAGAAAGGTGTATACGGACGATGCCGTTATAGCCGAACCCGTGTAAACGTTGTAAGGGAGAAGGAATGATAGTTACAACAGTGGTCCTGACAAATGCAGCGCAAGCGAAGTGTTTTCCGCTCTCAATGCCGATCACGTGTGAATGCAGCTACACATCAGATCTTGAACCTCAATTGTGTCTTGAGCCAAATGGCAATCAATGGAACTTGGTAAGCAACACCAACATAGACCTCAGAACAGCTTCCCAATTTAGGCACGGGGCCTAGAGGGTTTTAACACACAATAAGCAAAAATGTCACAAGGTTTCCCAACCGCCATGGAACTCCGAGTAGCTCCGAAAGAATCCCTCTTCAAAGGAAACAAAAAGGGAGACCCCCAGCCCCCTGGCTCCCTTCCAACCGTCCGGACCACCGACTGGAACGTGGAAAATCAAACCGTTCGAACCACTGAAACTCAAAGGACACCTGAACCGAACCGGCCGCTCGGCGTGGACTTTGGCGGGGTCACCCCCCCGAAAAGTGTCCGCGTAGTTCAGACCGGACAGGAGGATCGTCGCCGTGGGCTAGCAAAAAACAGAGCTCCCGACATTCCCCGTAACATCACACCTTTAAAAAACAAGTGATGCTGAGACAAAGGTCATTTTGTCTGTAAGATTTGCGTAAAAACCAAATACAGAGGAATGTCTTATAGATCTACAGAGGGGTCACTTACTAGACTCGCACTACGCACGCTCCAGAAGAATACTGTGGGCTCACTTAAAGACATGGTTCTGAGCCACCTTGGGCAAATATACTGGGCCAGACTTACACACCCGCAAATCTAAACTTTTTGCTCGGGAAAAATCGCTCGGAACCAAACTTGCAAAAGAGTTAAACAGGTACCCTCCCACCGTTTTCACGTTTTCACATGGAACCGCTCACCCGACGTTTGGGTGGGGTCCTGGTTTGGACCATTTTCCTAACAAAAAACCACCCACTGGGTGGGCTTCACGGGAAACATCCGGAAAACCCCACCTTTTTGGGGGGCTCCACTAAAAAGAGGACAGACTTTACTGGAGTTTCAAAGCATTTCCCGAACGCCCAACAGTCCTGGCTGCCTGGCTGGAGGGTAAGTGGAGCTTCGGCCGAGCCGCGTGGCGCCGAGCCCTGCCAGCTCCCCTGCGAAGATCTGGCTAGGCCCAAGTCAGATAGCTTGGTTGAAGTTGGGCTTGGGGACCAAAAAATGAAGAAAAATAATCAGCAGTTAGGTGGTGCCAACCAGTAAACCACAATAAGCAAACATGTCACAAGGTTTCCCAACAACAACCATGATAGGATGTAGGCCCCACGTCAGGGGAAGACTTGGTTGACGTGGGTTTGGGGGGGCATTGTTTTTGTTTAAGCAGTTAAGTGGGGATTTCAACCACTAAACCACAATAAGCAAAAATGTAAAATGTTTCCCAAAAACAACCATGAAGAAAGGTTGTTTTTCAGCTTGGACCCCCCCAAAAAATGGATTTCCGTTTCAAGTGTCCCTTCGGTTTCTCGAAAGGTGGGTACGAAATCTGTGTATCTCGCACCACGGTCTATAAAACCATGCTAAGGAAACCATAGTCAGGGGATCCGCAGTATGACTGTTTTAACTGGGGTTAGTTCTTTCATAACCATGGCTATAGCCTATCAAGTTACCTGAACATCCAAGTAGATCTAGGCATTTGAGCTCACAGAAAACCAGGGATAAAAACGAGGTCGTCGTGATGTAGGCCCTTGTGGGCCCAATCCTCATTTCAGGAGGTATAAGGAAGAATGTGCGGATAGATTGCTGTTGCACCCACCAAATCTCGGCCGGCATGCACACCCTCCCCTCCCCTCCCCCCCCCCCACCCACTTTTTGTTGATAGATTTCGTGGGGGGGGTGTGGAGAAACGGAAGCTCCAAGAAAAGAAGCTGGAACAAAAGTGGCAAATGAGGGGGCCTGCCTGCGTTTGGCTGAGCCCGCCTTGCGGGTGCGTGGCATCTGTCGATCTTACCTTCAAAACGAAGAAGCAGAAATCAAGGCTCCTCAAGGTACCAACCCAGGCGGACCTGATGGGAGGCCATACCGAACAGCAAAACACGGTCATTCTGGGAAACGATCTCCAGGAAAATGCCAAGGAGGTCAGCCAAACACCTACCAAGAGTGTGCTTTTGTCCTTGAGGTGCTTCCTGGAGATTCAGTGGATGGGCGAAATCCTTTTCGCGCCACCTAGAATAAACATTGCCCCTGTACATACCAACGAACCAACAATGTCGCCCTGGTTTCTGAGGTGGTTTCGTCCATCCAAAGCTTCTTAGAGTCACAGCCACTCGGGGCCCCGAGTAACAATGCCCGCTCCGAATCCAGCGCCTGTCAGGAAGTCCAGGGCAAGCGCGTGCTGAGGATAGATCTTGCCGGACCTCGGGGCAATCTCTTGGACATCACTATAGGGGTTGATTCCTTAAGTCAAAACCGTTTTGGGATCCCATTTTGGTTGGGATTGGTGAAGTCACCACGCATGTTAGAACCTATTTTAGTGGTTGGATTGGGTCCCGGTCACATCTGTTTCTAGGGGTTGATTCCTTGTCCATTTTCAACCATCGTTCTTTCCAACAACCGGATCCGTTTTCCCTAGGGGTCCGGAGGTTTTCTAGAAAGATCCGGATCCCTGGAAAGAATGGAAATGGAAGGTACCCCATTCTTTCACCCTAGCCCTAGTTGGTGCTTTGGATTGGTCTGGGCGCTTTCCCATGCACCCGCTGCGAAAACAAGAGGGTAAGAGGGCTTCAAATCCCCAAACCACTCCAAACCACCAATGAAGGATTGCCGCATGGAGGATGCTTCTAACGGAAGCTTGAGGTTGGCACCATCCGCCAACCTAAGCTTGGTGTTTTTGGGGCATCCCCATGAGTGAGAGACCCTCAAGATTGACGTCCTTTTGGTTTCCCTGTTAGAGCCCCGAAAAGAGACCAAGGGGGCAGGTGGGAGACCGAATGCAAACGCCGGCGACTTCTGAGGTCGCCGATTGAAATTCACGTCTTCTAAGGTGGCCCCCCCTCCCCTGCGCGGTATGGTGGGCACTTAGGGGCGTATGTTGCAACCTCGTTTGTTTAGGGTATGTTTTTTTTGTTTTCTCTTCCCCCCCCTCCCCACACAAAACGCTCCGAGTCCACGGTGGCTTCAGCTCATATGGGGTACCAACTTTTGGGTGGGAAGCGAGCTGCTCTGTGCTCACCGTTGCGCCAAAAGGGGCACTGGAGCGTCAAACTTCCAGCCGGCTGGCGGAAAGTCAAAAAAAAAAAGAAGAAGCTGCCACCGAAGAATATTTTGTGTGCCTTTGTGCTGTCCCTTTCTTTTGGAGTTTTTTTGGTTGCAGGGATCCTTACATTATACACCTGAACATTGCCTTGTCAATGGTGGTTTCCCTTTATTTTGGTGGAACAAGCCATGTTTCAAATGGTTGCAAAATGGAGATCTTTTAAGGAGCCCTGTGTTGGCGGGTGCCCTTTGAGAACAGCCCCCCGTTCGCACTTCGCTCGCCGCCCGTGCGATCTGGGGCGGCGGGCAGGAACTGCTGCAGGGCGGTCTGCTTGGAAGCCTAGGTGACGCGCCAATTGAGTACCTGACGTTCGGGGCTCCCTTTAAGAAAAAAATAGTCCAAACCAAAACCCCCCAAAAAAGAACACGCAACCAAAGAAGAACCGAGACATGGTTGCCATAGGTCTTCAAATTCAGCCGAGCCCTAGCAAACCAAAGAAGCCCGTGTTGTTTGTAGGTGTTTTTTTCCACCCATTGGGGTCCAACACGCCACATGGGAAATATCCTTCCCCTGCTCTTGCGTCAATGCTACTGTGGATGCACGCAATTCATTTCGCGCCACCGTTCAGAAACCCAACGGAATGATATGATTCCCCCTGTAAATGCCCACCAGCCTTGTGGTGTCCTTCCCATGGTTTCATTTCGTGCTGCCTGACTCGCGAATTTCGAGAGACCATTCAGGTGAGGCGCAGCTTCCGCCAACTGCGCGCCCTTGTCCGCCTCGGCCAGGCCGCGCCAAAAAAAAAAAAAAAACGCGGCCAGAGTAGGCGTTTACAGCGAAACAAAAAGAAACCCATCAATTTTGGCAATTTGGGGGTTCCCCTTTTTGAGGCAGACCCAAATTGCTTTTAAGGGTCTGCAATTCCCCTTTCCCACCGGGATGACATGGGCTTGTGTCTGAACAGGAGGTATGGTTTGCCTGTTGCCGTTCAAACCGCACAACGCAACAAGCTTACAAACTTGGCTACACACATTATGAGAATCATGTTTGAAACAAAAAACACATATATTGTGGATCCCCCCCCCCCTCCTGGGCCGCTTGAACCGAGCTGCTGCTTGCTGCAAAAGCTCGCTGGCGCCGATGGCGGAGCCTGACGGAGCTTTGTATGCAATCGGTTCACTTGCACTGTTTTTTTTTTTGTATTTCTCAAAGTTGGGGGTCCTTCCAGGTAGGTGATTTCCTTTTGGTTTCCATTTAAAACCATCCAAGAAGGGGTCCCCTATTTTGAGAAACACCCTTTTGGGCTTGTGTCGTTTGAGGGTGTCCCTTTTGGAACTTATTTTTCTTGCTGGTGCTCAGTAGCGAATGTGGGAATGCAACTGGGAGTGCCCTTCACGGACACAACAAGTCATTCCCTCATTCCCTACTGAGCGCCTGCAAGATAAAGGGGAAGCCACCCAGAAAAAGTGTAAATGTGCACTGGCTGGCTGAGAAAAAGGAAAATTGAAATGGAAATTCCTTTGGACCCATCTTATTGCAAAAACGCTCTGGTGGAGCACCAGCCTTAGGCTGAAAAAACCCTAGGAACGCGTCGTTTTTGGCGCGCGCGCGCGCGCGCGCGTTTTTCGCGCGCCGCCTGAGACCAGGAGCCGCAGCTTCAGCTGCCCCGTGGCGAGCTGACTCTCCAGGCGACGCTGGTAGGGCAGGTCTTTGAGGTGCCGGAGCCCGTAGAAGAGGTGCACCTGCCAGATCAACAACGCTGGTCGTCTTGCGTCTTCGTTCTTTTCTTCTTCTCTTATTTTTTGGAGAGGGGGATATATATATATATATATATATTTGTTTGTTGTTGTTGTTTTCCTTTGTGGGGACCCCCAAAACATGGATGCGGGTTTTGTTTGGATGGTTGCTACTGTAGATGGCTCAGCTACAGTGGGTGGTTGCGAGTCTCGCGCTTTCAGATACCCAACGACCCGACGGAATGCTGTGATTCCCCAACGCAAATACCAAGAAACAATGGTTTCAGTCATGGTTTCAAAGTGGTGCCACCTGCAAATGTTCAACCAAATGGCTCGGTTTTTTGGGACTCCTTTTCTGCTGGTGTCAGCTTCTCGCACCACGAAATGAAGTCCATAACGTCCGTTGGCATTTACAGGGGAACTATGTTCACTCTCCAACCCAAACGCTATGTGCTTGCAAACTACTGACTGATTCTTTACACCCCCTAGAAGTGAACAGAACCAGCAAGACTAAAAGCATGCCAACAACAGTGAAGTTCAACCAACCGGGCTGATCGTCTTTTTTTGGAGGTACCCCTTGCTCAGTGCGTTTCTTTCTGGAAGCCGCATGAACCCTACGGTTCAGCTACCATTGACTTGCAATTGGAACCACAAAAACCGCCATGATTTACCCTTCAGGAGCACCTCATCTAAATTGGGTCCGCCACTTTGATGAAGATTCAACCCTAGGGTTGCATGTTCAAGCAACTTAGTAGGTTATACATTCTCGTGGAAGTGTGCCGAGAACCCTTGGCATTCTAGGGGCCATGGCCCATGATTTTGAGGAACCCCCTCACTTCTTTGGGCCGGGCCGGGCTTCAGTGCGCTGGGAGAAAAGCCCGGTTTTGGGCGTGTAGCTTCGCAGTTCCCCCCGTCCCAGGGACTGACCAACAAAAAGCAACAACAGTCCATACTGTGGATGGACAAAATCCGGCCTTTGAAACCATTGCTACGGGGAAGTCATAAGTCGAAGGATTCTTAGGTGTTGTGAATGGGATTTCGTCCATCCACGGCATGTTGAAGGAAAGGGCTCGGGAGCGTGCTGGGAGATGATCATTGGCGGGCACCATTTGCATTTGCTGTGCCTGCCATCCATTTGTTAAGTGCGTTCCCCAAGCCAATCGAGGCGCCGAACAGCGGGCGAGTGTCAATTTGTTTTAGGTGTCTCTTTCATTTGGGTGTCAGCGTTCCTTTTGTTTTGGAATCTCCAGGGGCGAATTTCCCGTTTGGCTTATGGGGTTTGGAAAGGTCAATCCAAAGTGTGTAATAGGGCATCATGTTGATGACTGACTTAGTAAGGCCAGGGTATTCCTAATTGTGTTTGGGGCTCTATGCTAGGTTGCACTTTTTGCAGGGAGCTCAGGGAAAATTGTTGACCACCGCCGGCCGTCTGCGCCCGTCCAATACCGGCTTAATGTTGACCCTGGATGATCCTATTTGTAGGGAGTTTCCCCCCAGAAGTGATGAACCCCCACCAAAAGTGAAGCACTGTTGTTCAGACCACTGGGTTGCAGCATTGTGGTCCTTAATGACGCCTAGTCACTGTTCGTCACTCATCGTCACATAGTCAGCAGGTTGTGGCTTTCTTTGCTACGGCCCTGAATCAGAGTAGTGGCAAACGTGGACGAAAGGGCACCGCCCTTTGTTTGCTTTTGATCTTGACCCCGGATCAAACCCGTGGCCCCAATCAATGCGGGGCTCGGGGTGGTCTGGATCCCGAAACGGGAGAGCCGCCCTCCGTTAACATCTCCCATGGGTTCTAGCTGGATCCAGCGTTCCCATGGATGAAATTGTTTGACTTGTCCAGGCTGCGGGGGTCGGGGCACCGTTGGAGGACTCGGATCGCCGAACGATCTTAGATCTGTTCAGCTTCACTGGCGAGCCCGCCCTTCCGCCCCCAGCCCTGGCCGGGGCCTCGGTCTGCGGGGAGGCGAGGTGCGCCGCCGCGGCCAGGGCGCCGGAGAGCCCCACGCCGGAGCTCACGATGGCCACGCGGCGAAAAGAGGAGGCCAAGGCGTCCAGGAACTGGAACCTATCGGGGAGAGGCGGAGAGAGAGGCGATGGGTGGACACCCAAAAAAAACCACCCAAAGACGGGGGGGGTGGTGTTTACAGAACCCCAAAACCCAAAGGAAAAAACAAAACGACAACCCAAAAACCTGAAACCCCCCCCCAAAAAAAAAAAAAAAAACTGCATACAGAATCGTTGTTCATTCCAGGATACCTGGCTACCCCGTCGCAGGTGCAATGTTGACCAACCATATGAACTTCAACCAGCCAGTTTCTGGAGATTTGGGGGTGTCAACCTGGCTTTTTGTTCAGGGGAAGCGGGGAACAATCTAGCTGGTTCCCTCCAAAGTGTCCTTCAGGTAACTGGCCATCTGTCACCTCAAGGGGAGAGGGGTGGGGGGTGGCATGAGACCATGAAAAAAAGAGAGGAGAAATCGGTGTTGACAGGGGAACCGAATCATTTCAGGATACATGTGCAATGTTGACCCCGAATGAATTCCAACCGACCCAGTTTCTTAATGGGGTCCCCGGTGTCAACCTGGGTTTAGTGGGGAAGCCCACCTCTGGAGGAGCGCAACCCCATTGTTAAGAAACCGGGGGGTCAACATTGGGGGGCGAAAGACTAAGTAGCTGGTAGGTTCGCAACTGGCACCTGGCCATCCCATGCCATCCCCACCTTAAGGGGAGAGGGCTGGGGGTTTTAGTCAGGGGAAAATGCATTTTGGTGTCTCTTTGGACATCCCCCCTCCCAACCCAAACCATGGGTCGTTCTTTTAAGGGAAGGGTACTCCTTTGGTTGGTGGTTTCGTTCAAAATGAAACCATAGGAAGGAAACCATAAGGTTTGTTCGTACTTACGTTGGGGATCGAATCATTCCGTTGGGCTTCTTAGGTGGTGCCAAATGGAATTCGTCCATCCACAGAAGGGGGGCTACCTGCCCGGTTGCCAGGTGGTGTGCATTGAAACTGAAGAAGGAGAAAAAAAAAGAGAAGAAAAAAAACGGAAATGGAGGAAGCGCTTGGTTGCCCCGGGGTTGAACCCGATATCCCTCGAAAAGGATCGTTTGGAGCCCAGCTTCTAGAAAACGCAACACTGAATTGCAAATGAAGGTGGTCATCAAGGCAGAAGTGCCTTTCTTTTCCAAGAGGCAGCGAGCATCCCCAGCCGCCCCAGCCGCCCCAACATCCCCAACATTCCCAGCATGCCCAGCATCATTTGGAAGCCTCGCGTCTGAAGTGCAGTCATGATGGAGAACTCAGCAAATTGAGATGCAACCTCAGAAAAAAAAAAAAATCCGCCCGTTTCAAAACCTTTTCCGGCTCATCCATCTTGCTTGCAGCATGTCCGTGGCTGTTGCTTATACTCTGCTTGCAGCATTTTCCCTTCCAGGGGCTCTTTTTCCACGACCCACCTGTTCTTGTTCGCCTTCGGGTCCCGATTCCCGCTCGAGCCGCGCCTGCCGTTGAAGAAGCCAGAGATCACCGGGTTCACAAAGAAGCCGGGCCTATCCTGCGGAAGGGCCAAGTCGCCAGAAACATCTGCGAAGAGGAGCCAACCATAACTTGCGAGAGATGCAGGGAATGAGGAAAGGAATGACCCTTATAAGCCATCCCTTGTGGTTTCCGTTAAGGGGAACCGCTGGGGTCATTCCCACATCCCCTACGGAGCACACGCAAGATAAACTACGTTATCACTTTGCAAGGAACTCCCTGGATTTATCACAGAAAGCTTGAACATGTGACTACTTTAATCGCGTTTTGTTTTCAAAACTAAGCATATTCCAACTGCTAGTCCGGAAGTGTATCACTTCACAAGGGGCTCCCTGGACAACTATCACAGAAAGTTCCCCTACCCCCTTTTTCCACAGCTAAACCCAATGTTCTGCAGAGCGTGGGCCAAACAGAACCCAACTTGCTCCGCCGAAAACCACATTACCTACAAGCAAGTGGCAACCTCTAACTTCTCTGTTCTTGGATCATTCTTAGGTGGTTTGGTTCTTTTAGGGCGGGCTCAGCCAGTTTTCCAAGCCCATTCCGTTTGGGTTGTATCTAGCTAGAAGTCGGGTGAACCAATTCCCCGATTTGGATTTAGTTCTCACCTTCCTTTCTGAATGGAATTGATGGTTGGAAAGCTGTAGGTGTTGGCTTCTGTTCACGTTGAGTGGGGGGGCCCGCAACCAACAAAGATGTTTGCAAGCCCACACCGTCTGGGTTGGAAAGCTAAAATCGGAAAGGTACAGTAATAGGGCGGGGTTCCCCTCGAAAGTGAGGATTCCCCACTAAATCCAGGGAAAACCCCCTATGAATAAACCGGGGCTGGTTAATATGGGGTCAACATTATCCTTCACCACCACCAACACCACCACCACCACCACCACTACCACCACCACCAGCGCAGGCCTGCGCCATTCTCAGCGCCGTTGCCACGTGTGTGACCAGCGGGTGCAGCTTAGCCGGCGGCGGCCCCGTGAGGATCTCCAGGAGGCCCTCCTCACGAAGAACCGGAACCCCGCCCCCCCCCCCCCTTCCCAAACGGTGGAGTGGTCTTAGGGATGTTGACATGGCTGTGGTTGTGAAAACTGTTTTGAATCGGATCCCATTTTGGTTGGGATTGGTGATTGGGATGTTCACATCTGAGTCACAAACAAAACCCGGTAGTAAAATGGTCTACCCAGAGCCATGTAAAGAATTAAGCAGGCGGCCGCAACTACTTCTGGCTGGTAGAGGCAGTTGGGGAACTACTCACCAACAATCTAAAACCACCAACTAATGTCAACCCCGGATCTAAGTAGAAACCCCGTTGATTAATAGGGAGGTGCCCCCTTTCAGTGGGGGTTCGGACCACTTTTGGAGGGAACACCCCCCTAATAATGGGACGGGTTTATTAATCCTAGGTCAACATTAGGGATGTTCACATCTGGTTCCTTACTTTAGATCTTGCTGCCCCCAATAACCTATTTGCGTTGGGGAAGGGATCGGTGACTGAAACATGTCGAAACCCATCAGCGTTGAAGCATTCTTTGGCAAGCTGGTGTTCAAGCGAACGCGAAATACCTGATCAAATGGCGGTATTGTGGGTGTGTCTTTTGCTTGCGTTTGGTGTCCGTTTTGGTGCTGAAACCCCGCCAGTCCCCCCATTGCCAGCTTTCTCGACACAAGGATGTGGACAGAATAGGGATCCTCAAGCCCCGGATGGCTGAGGATCCAACAAAGGCAATCCCGAAAAATTGCACCGTGGCATTACTCGGTTGACGTTGGAAGGGGAGCAACAATTTAATTTCTAGCAGTTAGGTGGATTTGGATTGCAACCACTAAACCGCAATAAGCAAAAACTGCAACATGTCTCCCAACAACAACCATGAAGCTGTTTCACTCTTGATTTCGCCCCATCACGTTTCGTTTTGATTTCGCCCTCTTGGTCCTCACTCTTCCCTGCCAAGGCATACGGTTGCTCCCGGGGCAGCTGATTCTCATCCAGCCGCTGCACGCGCAGAATCGCGCCGGGGCGGTAGTCTCGCATGATCCGGCGCCAGCTTGCGGTGTCCACCCTCAAAGATGTCTCCTAAAGGAGGGCTCTGGTTTTGTTTCTTTCCCTATTTGGTTGTGATTTTTTTTTATTTTTTTTTCGTTGTTGTTGTTCTTTTTTTTCTGGGGGTGGAGGGGGGGCGGGGGGGAAAAGGGGGGGCGGGGGGGAAAAGGGGGGGCGGGGGGGGGGGGGAAGGGTGGCGGGGGGGGGGAAAGGGGGGGGATAAAGCGTTTGCTCTTTGTGTGAGGAGGTCTTTGTGTTTCTTAGGTGATGACCCCGTTGTTGCCGGCCATGGAGACAAAAAAAACCCAAAACAAAAGTAGGCGTTCGGCTTCCCTTGCGCCGGACAGCGCGGCTGAATGGGGGTCTTTGGAGAAAAAAGCCTCCGAGGAATGACTTTTTCTCAAACCCAGGGTGCCCTGCCCAAATCATACTGTGGATGGACAAAATCCATTTCGCACCACCTAACAAACCCTGGAATGATGGTTCCCCTGCAAATACCAACCAGAAATGTGTCCCATGGTTTCAATGTGGTGCAGGATTTTGTCCATCCACAGTAGGGGCATGATTCCTAGTTTGTTCCCCCCCCAAAAAAATACTGGGAGCTGCTTCGTGGTTTTCAGGGGCATGTGCTCAAGACCGATTGATTCGGCGTGCCTCCAAATAAGAAACGCCAAAGCCCACAACGTGGAGTCCAAAAGCAGCTTCCATTCAACAGTGCCAACTCGAAAAGAAGGACAAACACAATGGTTAGCCTTGATTTTGATTTAAACCATCCGTGACAAAGCAGGCAATGCACAATCCCAAAGTCAAATGGTGCCTTTCAATCAAAACCCCTGGAACAAATGCGGCTTTTGCTTTCCTTTGGCAAAGCCCTGTAAACCGTTCACCCAAGAATGGCTTTCCAACTCAAGTCGGACACGATTCAAAACGCAGCCGCCCCCTACCAGACACCCCCCAACTGGAACCAGCCGGAAGCAAGCAATTCCTTTCTTTTGGCTCAGTTGACGTAAATAGTCAGAATGGGTTTAGTTGGAACATCAATTTTGTGGTTGTGGTTTGCAGCAGCTGGATTGACTCGGGTTGTGTGGGGATGGGCTCAGGGTGGCAAATATGAATTCGCAAAAAAAAAGAAAAGAAAAAAGAAGTCCCCCACAAAAAACCACAGGGATGCTCAAATTCCCTCCCCAGAAAAACGACACGGGCAACTCCACACCGAGAATTTCCCCCTTGTCGCCTGGAAGTCCCCGAGCTGAACCTTCTCCACGCCAAGCACCGGCACCCACGCGTCCCGGCAGTCGGAGCCGAACCAGTTGCACGGGCACTGCAAGACCTCGGCGTTCCGAGCGGCCGCTCGGCGCTGCTGATGTCGCTTTGCACGCTTGCACGTTGACAATTTTACGCCACCCCCGGTGCGTGTCAGGCACGCCTCCGTTTCCGGTGTTCCGTCTTCTCAGTGCGGCGGTCGGGGGGTAGCTTCTGCAGTTACTGCATAGCACTGGAGCACTGCACATGCAAGCAATCTGCAGTTACATTGCTTTGCACATTTATCTTTGCATAGATAAACATATAAGTTTATATGCGTATGCCTGTGTGTGTATGTGTGTCGAGGCACCTTTTTGGGTTGGCATGGAAAACAACCATTGGGGCCCTATTTTGAGACAAACCACCTTTTATGTGCTGCTTAAACGGGCTCACCAGCACATGGGACACCACTGGATCTTAAGTTCCCCACAAAAACACAAAGACGGCCCAATTTGTGGGCACGAAGTTCATTGCGGACCCTTTGGACATCAAAAAACACGGGAGTTCATTTCAAAACCACAAGATCCGCCGTTGCTCAATGAGAAAAGCTTCTTGCTGGCTGGGCAAAAGCCCTCTTTTTCGCAACTTGATCGAAGGTTCAGGGTTGAGCCCCCCGAAAAAATGAGAAAAAGGAAACGAGACACCTTCCCAACCTTCCCAACCTTCCCAACCTGCCCGACCTTCCCAACCTGCCCAACCTTCTCAACCTGCCAGACCTTCCCAACCTTCCCAACCTGCCCAACCTTCTCAACCTGCCCAACCTTCTCAACCTGCCCGACCTTCCCAACCTGCCCGACCTTCCCAACCTTCCCAACCTTCCCAACCTGCCCGACCTTCCCAACCTGCCCAACCTTCTCAACCTGCCCGACCTTCCCAACCTTCCCAACCTGAACCTTCTCAACCTGCCCAACCTTCTCAACCTGCCCGACCTTCCCAACCTGCCCAACCTTCTCAACCTGCCCAACCTTCTCAACCTGCCCAACCTTCTCAACCTGCCCAACCTTCTCAACCTGCCCAACCCTCTCAACCTGCCCAACCTTCTCAACCTGCCCAACCTTCTCAACCTGCCCAACCTTCTCAACCTGCCCAACCTTCTCAACCTGCCCAACCTTCTCAACCTTCCCATCCCCTGGAAAACCGAAGAAACATAAGCCCAGGTGCGCAATCCAGGAACCAGAAACCCAAAAGCATGCAGCTGAATTGGAATGACCCAAAAGCATGCAGCAAGTCTTCCCAACCTTCCCATGGAGCAAAAAGAACTCATGCGGGCAAAATCTCCGCAACCGCCCACCCCAAGAGACTCTTGCCTCATTATTTTACCATGACCAAAGTCACCCCCTAAGTGGCGGGTTAAAGCGAAAGAACCCCCCCAAAAAAAACCGTCCAACTCACGACCCCCCAAAAAAAAACAACTTGGCAAACCAACGCCAACGCGTCCCTCCGACTATCTCGGCCCAGGCGCGCCCAGGCCGAGGCCTCCGAAGGCCGAGTTCGCATACCTCGCCTGGGAGGAGGCGTCGCAGGAGTTGGGGCGGCACAGGAGGCCAAGGCCCGTGGGGTTGGGGTAGCGCTCCGGGCGGATCTCCGGCAGCAGGCACTCCTCCTGGGGGGTGGTGGTCTGGGGGTCTGCTGAAGGAGTGCGGCTTTTTGGGGATCCCGGAGGGAGAAAAAAAAACAAACGACACCCACCCAAGTAGGTGGCAAACATGGGAAAAAACTGGTTGGTCACTGGGGGTGGTTGGTAGCTTTTAAACGAGTTGGTGCCCCGTTGGTGCTTTGTGCTTTTGAAAGGGAAACCCCCCTCCAAAAAAAAGGGGGTCCTCTAAAACTTGAGGAGGGGGTGAACGAAAGCTAGCAACTGTGTGAGACGGGTCTGGTGGTCTGCAGAAGGAGTTGCTGGGTTCAAAGGGGAACCAAAAGAAAAAGAAAAATGCGACTTTGCGGATCCCCGAAAAAGTGGACACACCCAAGTAGGTGGCGAACATGGGACAAAACTGGTTGGTAAGTGGGGTTAGTAACTTATAACCATTTGCCTAGGTTGAACACGCATTGGACCTTGTTCCTCCAAACAATCGGTCACCCCAACCAATCCTGGCTTTCATCTCGGCTACCAAAAAGGGGCCCACCGGATTTGAGAAACCCGCGTACTTCCCCACACTCAGCGTGCCAGAAGGTCTGTAGGCCTAAACGGTGCGTGCTTGCAACAAACTGGCTCCGTTCCGTTGCAGCCCCCTGAGAATGAACAGAAACCAAAAAAAAAAAAAGCCTGGAAAACATACCAGCAAAAGTGAACACAGAACAAAACAGGAAATGCACTTGGGTGTTCAGGCAAGCTTGTAAGTTGCTGGTAACCTGGGTTGTGATGCACTTATAAGCCCCCGTTCAGTGCAGTAAACTTGTTATCCGTGGTTTATAACCCGCGTGGCCTTCTCCACTTCCTACGGTGGATGCCCTAAATATTGCAAGTAGGGATAGCAAGGGAAACCCTATAAATTCCCATGGCTTGTGTTTGGTTTACTTGCAACATTTAGGGCGTCCACCGTAGCTTGGCGAATCGAGCATCCAAGGAGTCTTTGACCCCGTCCCTCCTTACAGACCGCCGCGCCCCGAGGGAAGAAGGTGAAGTCGGAGAACTCTTGGCAGGTCACGTTCACGGAGCCCTCCGACGCTGGTGGCCCAAGGTGAGTCACAATCAAAACCCGGCATTAAAATGGTCTACCCAGAACCATGCTTCAAGAATTTAGAAGGTGGATATCCGCAGCTATTTCTGGCAAGGGGATCGTCCCTTACTAACCTTCATTGATCCTCGGGTATTGATGACGTGACTCAGGTGTTTAGACCCTCGTGCGCGAACTGCGCGCAGGGGCGCCACTCAAGTCTCTGAGCCTCTGAGCGGGTGCAAGAGGAGTCCAAACTGTTTGTTTGTCGAAGAGGGGGGGGGACTATGGGTCCAGACCCAAAAAGTGACTAAACTCCAGGAACTTAGGGAGTCAGAAGGGGGAAAGGAGGGCGTTGTGAATTCCCCCGCTACTGGAAGGGGTCGGAGCATGTTTGCCGCCGTCCAGTAGTTGATGGTTGCTCAAAGGTTCTCAACACCAGCCTGGTGCTTCTCTAAACCCAGGCTAGGACTTGGGGGTTTGTTCGCAGCCGCCTCAGATGTACTGCATGTTTGAAGAATCAGATCCCAAAGTTTGTCACACCAACAGAACATAGTGACACTTCTCCACAGCTCCCCGCAAAATTGGCAAATGTTTACCTATGTGCTTAAGTCCCCTGGAAAAAATGAGGCAATACGTCCCAGGTGGTGAAATCGACTCCCTCCAAAACCGAGGACCCAGTTCCCAACCAGTTATCTTTGTAACCTACTTCGGTGTGTATTTTTTGGGAGGCCCCCTCCCATTGTTTCAGCAAATGGATCTAGAGGACACTTCCATTTCCATTCTTTCCAGGGATCCGGATCTTTTCAGAAAACCAGCAGAATCCGAGGGGACACAGCTGGTTTTTGAAGACAAAAACGCTGGTTGAAAAGAATGGAAAAGGAATCAACCCCTAGACTAGTTCTATAATTGTTTCCACTACCAGCGGAAGGAGATCAAGATCACCTGGTGGTTCTTGTGGCTGGCGCAAGGAATCAAGCCCTAGAATGGCAGGTTAGCTTAAGCCGACTGTGACTCGCGTGGCGCCTCCGGCGCCAGCATGGACCGGAACCACCGGCGGCAGGTGGTGCGGCAGTGCTCGCCCCGGCAGGGCATGAGCGCCGTGTCCATGAGGCAGTCCTCTTTGAAGTTGCTTTACATTTCGGGGGCTTGTGTTGTTCTTGCTTGTCTCTTTCTTTCTTTTTCTTTCTTTCTTGCTTACTTGCTTACTTGCTTGCTTGCTTGCTTTCTTCTGTCTGTCTGTCTGTCTGTCGGCAGGCAGACAGACCGACAGACAGACAGACAGACACACAGACGACAAACCGACTAACAAAAACAAAACAAACATGCACGCGTGCACGCGTGGCACGCGTGGCACGCACGCGTGGCACGCACGCACGCACGCACGCACGCACGCACGCCTGATAGCCAGCCAGCCAGCCAGCCAGCCAGCCAGCCCGCAAGCCAGCAAGCCCAGCAAGCCAGCAAGCCAGCAATTGTTTGATTGTTTGTTTGTTTGTTTGTTTGTTTGTTTGTTGTTTGTTTGCCGGCCGGCCGGCCGGCCGGCCGGTCGGGGATTTGAACGCCTGGTGGCTATCCCCCTGAGCCTCTACCAGTCCCCACTGGAAGATTTGTCAAGAGGCCTATCTAAAAGCAACTGAGGCCTCATTCTGCAATCGTCAAGAGACAAGGCCTCACCTGGCCAAAAATATTCTCCCATCACAGAAAGACAGAGGGAGAGGGAGACACACACCTCGGCGCCCGCATCTTCGCACCATTGGCCGCACAGCTTCAAGCCATCTGCGCTGCAGGAGTCGTCTCCGCACTCGGCATCGGCCGCATCGGCCGACGCCCAGAGGATGAGAGCCACACGCCACATGCAGGCGAGCGCCAGAGTGTTCTGCGCTCGTGGGGATTTGTTCAAAGGAAAGGTTGGAGTGCTGGGCTTTGCTCCGGTGAGCAGAGGGCCACCAGATTTCTCCTCAATGTCTAGACTTGCTGGTTGGTTCCAATGAAACTGCCGCCTTTGCAGGGCCCAAAAAAACAGGAAAATGGAGGGCCCCCCCCTCTATCATTGATTTCTCTCCAAGTGCCGGCAATCAAGCCGAAGATACATTTGTTGGACGACACCCATTTAGCAGCAGATCCTTCCGTTGGGATTCTAAACGGTGGTGCGAAATAGAGTTCGTCCATCCAGTGTGTTCAACCCACCGGGTTGCTGGTCTTTTTTGGAGGCTACGATTTTTCAAAAGCGTTGCAAGGCAAGATCGGCCTGGCAACTATGGTGCTGAACGGCTTGAGCCCCGCGTCACGCCCCAAAGGCTGTCTGCAGCTCCGCCGGTCAAAGGGCACCGCTTCGCCCCTTTCTCGGCGCGCGACGCGCGTCACGGCAGCTTTGGCTTGCCAAGGCACTTCCAGATCCTCGGGAGAGATGCGGCCAAGGAAACACCTACCTCTTGTGACTTTTCGCAGGAGGGGAGGCCATCATGGACGACACCTGGGTAAGAAACTGGGTACTGCAAGCGGGGGCTTGTCCAGAACAAAATCCCAAAGATCACCCCCGCTCCAAGGGACACCACCCCTTCCGACTTCCGGAAGAGTGGTGGAAAAGCTTCCGGACAAATCGGCGCAAACTGGGAGAAAAATTCTAGGAGTTGATTCCCCATTCTTGTCAGCCATCGTTCTTTTCAAAACCAGCCATTTCCCCAGGGTGTTTGGTGGTTTTCTAGAAAGATCCGGATCCCTGGAAAGGATGGAAGTGGAAGTTACCCCTAGAAAAAAATCGGAGCAGCTCGTCGGCCGAGCAGCTCCAGGAGGATCCAGGCGTCCAAGGCCGCGTAGACCTTCTGCCAGTGCAGCAGCGGGCGATGCGCCCAGTCACTCGCGCGCATCTCCTAAGCAGCGAGGCGGGTTGCAAGTCCTCTCTCGATTTCAGGTGATCGTCAAGACGAGGGGTGGTGGTGTGGCCAGGGACGCAGGGAAAGCCAGATAATATATATATATATATATACATAGACCCGCCATCAGCTTCGCACATGCCCAAAAAAGTGGCAAGCAAGCAATCGGATTCTGCGGTCTTCCACGGGGGCATACTGGGGCTTCCATAGTGGCTGGCTCAGGTTTGGGGAAGTCTTCGCCGCCGGGCAACGCCGACCCAACCCAACCCGGCTCCCTTTGCCCCCGCCCCAACCCCCACTCCAACCCCCACCCCACCCCCCCACCCCCCGCCTTGTTCAGGGGCTTTCCCACCACCTCCTCGGCCAAGCGCGACAAGCCCAGCTGCCCGCCGCGGCTGCCCAGCTTCAACCTCGGCTGAAGCGGGCCCTGGGCCTGGGCTTTTGCGGCGAAGGGAACACAACTCAACCTTTTCGTTGGTGTGTAAAAAACAGAAGGGGTGAAGGTGGGTGCTTTTCCCTTCTTTGTCATATCAGAAGGGGTGAAACACGGTGTTTGGTAGCATTTCTCATGCTAAAATCAGATCCCCACCCAACACCAAGCCTCTTTTCTATTGGGACACCAACCCCCCCCCCCCCACACAGTTTTGACCCCTACCCCAAATAGATCACCATCTCTTTTCGTTGGTGACTAGCAGCTTCCCTCTGATTGGTGGTTTGGATTGGTGGTGTGGATTGGTGGTGTGGATTGGTGGTTTGGATTGGTGGTTTGGTAGCTTTTGTGTTCCAATCCCCAAACCACCAATCCAAACCACCAATTGGGACATCAAGCCCACACCGACCCAAATAGATCACCATCTCTTTCCAAGAATCATGGACACAAGAGGGTTTTTGGAAGGCAGGTTCAACTTGAAAAGGCCGAATCATTCTCCTCCCCGATTAGAGGAGAAAAAAAAACAAGCGAACGACGAAAATGTCCTCTGCCCAGAACCTGGCCCATTCCACATGCCTGTGCCCCTATGAAGTACTGTCCACTTCCTTGCGTGCAACAACCTTCCTAGAGGCCCCGGCAAAATTGGGAAAAGGTCTCCACCGCAGCACATAAACGCTTCCCTCTGCAGAACTTGGTCCAGTTGGCTATGATCCTCAAGGAATACCCGCGAAAATGCCTTGAACCACTTTCTCCCATCCACGATTTCGGGCCCCCCTTGAAGATCACCCATTTCGTCTATCCACAATACGACCCAAACACAAAGCGGAAACACCCGCCAAGAGGCCAAGTTTAAACCAATCAAAATACGTGGCTGCTCTTGAGTCCCCTGCAAAAAGTTGTGAACTTTTTGGGGGGCTTGATGGAAAACACCTTTATTTCAACCAAAAAGTTAAAGTCTAAAGATCCGTTACCCAATAGCAGTCAAGAAAAGGCTGCCCTGTCCTACGCCTCTCCAAGGCGCTTCTGGCCGGCCAGCTGCTGCAGATCGTGGTAGCGCGGGATCTGGTTCAAGCCACTCAGGCGGCAAAGGTCGCCGTGCTCCTCGTAAGAAGAGGGCCTGCCTGTTTTTTGGTTCAATATTCCTTTTGGGGGGTCGGTTTAAATGGGAAATCTATTTGTTTGTTTATTATTTATGTGTTTTTTTTTGTATTTATTCATTTATTTATTCCTTTACTTATTTGCTTGTTTATTTATCTATTTGGGTGGGGTTCGATTCCTATTTTGAGAAAAGCCCATGTCGCGCCGATGGGAGAGCAGCGATCAACTCCTGCAAACAGTGTTCGACAGCCCTGGGGCCCCGCTGGAGAAGCCAAGAACAGTCTTCAGACGCGAATACCGACTGGGAAGTCTATTTTGGCCTCGGGCGAGGTAAAAAAAACTAGACCACGGTTGGCCCGAAAGCAGAACATCGCAAGCGAGGTCGGCCCAACGCTGCAGGATGCGTTGTTTTTCCCTACACGAAGCATTCGTGAAGCAAGCGCGAGACAGCACCAGGCAAGGTGCTCTGCGCAAACTGGTCGGTGCAAGTTGGTCTGCGCAAGTTGCTCTACGCAAGTTGCACTGTGCAAGTTGCTCTGCGCAAGTTGCTCCGCGCAAGTTGCTCCGGCAAGTTGGTCCCTGCAAGTGGCTCCCTGCAAGTTGCTCTGTGCAAATTGCGCTCCCTGCAAGTTGCTCTGTGCAAGCTGCTCTGTGCAAGTTGCTCTGTGCAAGTTGCTCTGCGTAAGTTGCTCTGCGCAAGTTGCTCTAGGCAAGGCGCTCTGCGCAAACTGGTCGGTGCAAGTTGGTCTGCGCAAGTTGCTCTGTGCAACTTGCTCTGCGCAAGTTGCTCTGCGCAAGTTGCTTTAAAATGCAAGTTGCATCTTGCGACGCCCGCCCGCGGACCAGGGAGGAATCGAACCCGCGACCCGCCGGTTCCGGGAGCAGGCGCGCGAACCACGAGACAACTCCCGAAGGACCAGTTCGAACAACAAAAGTCGCAAAAACCTCGAGTTTTTGCACCTCCACCACGCCGATTCCCGCAGAGGGTTGCGCGAGCACCGCAGAAATCGCAAAAAACCATGGGTTTTTGCACCTCGACCACGCCGATCCCCGCAGAGGGTCGCGCGAGCAGGTTAGAAATCGCAAAAAACCATGGGTTTTTGCACCTCGACCACGCCGATCCCCGCAGAGGGTCGCGCGAGCACCGCAGAAATCGCAAAAAACCATGGGTTTTTGCACCTCGACCACGCCGATCCCCGCAGAGGGTCGCGCGAGCACCGCAGAAATCGCAAAAAACCATGGGTTTTTGCACCTCGACCACGCCGATCCCCGCAGAGGGTCGCGCGAGCAGCGCAGAAATCGCAAAAAACCATGGGTTTTTGCACCTCGACCACGCCGATCCCCGCAGAGGGTCGCGCGAGCACTTTAGAAATCGCAAAAAACCATGGGTTTTTGCACCTCGACCACGCCGATCCCCGCAGAGGGTCGATTTTCGTGTAGTGTCGTCGGCACTACCCCGCCGCCCTAAGAAGAGATTTTAACTCCTCGCAAGTCAATTGCACTTGACTCCTTGCACTTGCAACTTGCACTTGACTCCTTGCTTGTTTCAAGGAGTCATTGCAAGGAGTCATTGCAAGGAGTCATTGCAAGGAGTCATTGCAAGGAGTCATTGCAAGGAGTCATTGCAAGGAGTCATTGCAAGGAGTCATTGCAAGGAGTCATTGCAAGGAGTCATTGCAAGGAGTCATTGCAAGGAGTCATGAGAGCCATTGCAAGTTGCAAGGAGCCAAGTGCATGGAGTCAAGTGCAAGTCGCAAGTGCACGGAGATAAGTGCAAGTTGCAAGTGCAAGGGGCCAAGTGCAAGGAGCCAAGTGCAAGGAGCCAAGTGCATGGAGTCAAGTGCAAGTTGCAAGTGCATGGAGTCAAGTGCAAGTTGCAAGTGCAAGGAGTCAAGTGCAAGTTGCAAGTGCAAGGAGTCAAGTGCAAGTTGCAATCCTTGCCATGACTCCTTGCAATGACTCCTTGCAATGACTCCTTGCAATGACTCCTTGCAATGACTCCTTGCAATGACTCCTTGCAATGACTCCTTGCACTCCTTGCAATGACTCCTTGCAATGACTCCTTGCAATGACTCCTTGCAATGACTCCTTGCAATGACTCCTTGCAATGACTCCTTGCAATGACTCCTTGCAATGACTCCTTGCAATGACTCCTTGCAATGACTCCTTGCAATGACTCCTTGCAATGACTCCTTGCAATGACTCCTTGCAATGACTCCTTGCAATGACTCCTTGCAATGACTCCTTGCAATGACTCCTCCTTGCAATGACTCCTGCATGACTCCTTGCAATGACTCCTTGCAATGACTCCTTGCAATGACTCCTTGCAATGACTCCTTGCAATGACTCCTTGCCATGAATGACTCCTTGCAGCCATGACTCCTTGCAATGACTCCTTGCCATGACTCCTTGCAATGACTCCTTGCAATGACTCCTTGCAATGACTCCTTGCAATGACTCCTTGCAATGACTCCTTGCAATGACTCCTTGCAATGACTCCTTGCAATGACTTTCATGATGATGATTCCTTGCAATGACACCTTGTAATGACTCTCATGAGAACAACTCAAGTGAACCCAGCGGAAGAACCCTTCGCCATGCTTTCGGGAAAAAAAACATGTCTCGCAGGTGAGGCTCCGTTCCAGTCCCTTACAGCCCCTTACAGCCCTCAGCTTCGGCCCCGTCCGACCCTCCGAAGGCCAGCTTGGAGATGTTCGGGGCCGCCAGCAGGCGCTCCTCAGCGCGGACACGTCGGGGCGCGGACACGTCGCACGAGATGGCGCGTCCCTTCAGAGCGGGCGAAGTGGGCTGGCCATTTTGCCGCACGCCAGGACGCAGCTTGACAACTTGACAAAGAGTGGGCGGTAATACATACACCTTTAAAAAAAGAAAAAGAGGCACGCTGAGTGGCAATCACAGCCACTGCAACTGCTGGAAAGCAGTCCAGCGCCCAGAAGAAAGAACCAGCCAAAAGGCTAGCCAGAGCAAGCGCCGGCCTCTTCACCGACTTGCTCTATTGCAACACTCCAATGAACTCGGTTGCTTTCTGCTCCCCTGCTAAAAGTGACTAACTTTTAGTGGTTTAGTTCGGAAAACCCGTTAGTTTGCAAAAAGTTAAAGTCCTAACTGCCAGGCAAAACGCACCAAAGTGAAGTTTGTGCTCGGGTTGACCAACTCGCCGCATGGTCGCCCAATGACAAGGAACCACAAAGGCCACAGAAACCGAAGGGGGGAAACGTACTCAACCTGGTCCAAACCGGGCTCAAGAAGAAACCCTTGTCCACCACCCGAAATCAACATAAACTCTAGGCACTTCCATGTCCATTCTTTCCAGGGATCCGGATCTTTCCAGACAACCATCCGAACCCCAAAGGAAAAACAGCGATCGGTTTCTGACAAGAACGAGGGTTGGAAAAAATGAAATGGAACTCAACCCCTAGATAAACCAACTCAAAACGGAACCCGAAGGACTTGGAAGGCTGACCCGTTTTCTCTCCCCGAGCCCTGGGCGCGAGAGGGAAGGCGAGGGGCAACGAAGCGGGTCATCTCGGGGCTCTTGCGAGTCATGTCCAGCAGGTAGACGTCCTCTTTCGTCAGTTGAGGCAAACCCCAAAATCCAGAAGATTGGAAAACCCGAAAGATTGGAACCCAGCTATGGGAAGCAGAAAACAAAACAAAAACACTTGCATTTAGGGGCCCAGAAATGGTACAAGGTGACCACCTTTTGGGCCAAGTGGGAACCCAAAAGGTTGAAGAACAAAGGCTCTCACCTTTTGGGGCCCATGGGAACCCAAAATGGAAAATCTCCAGCTGGGAAGCCAAAAGCTTGGAGAAGCTTCTAGACATAGAGGAGGGGCATGCGAGACTCGCGCCACACCTGTTGGAAAAGGCTGAATGACTGACCTTCTCTGTGGAAAAAGGGTCAACAGGGTCAATTCGCTGTGGAGAACTAAGAAGAGAAGGTCAGTCAACCCCTTTGGTGGCATTCAACTTGCTCCAAAGGGCTGACACCAGACTTCAAGCACCCAAAAGGCGACATACCCCCGCCCCCCAAAACACCCAAAAAATGGAAGAACACGCCAAAAACCACAAAAAAACAAAACAGCCCTCTCAGACTTCTCCCAAGTTTGACGAATCCACGAGCGCTTCCTTCCAGGTCGCCACCTGCAGCAAGCTGAGGCCCTTCGAGTTCGAGGCCTCCGTATCCAAGCCCACCACCTTCCACCGCCGCATGCGCCGCGTGAGGTCCTCCAAGTCCTCCCAAAGCCCCCCCGGCCAACTTTTGGAAGCAAGGCCAAGCAGGACAAGCGCCCAGCTTTTTGCCCAAACGCCGCGGCGGTCTTCATTTTGTGGCTGTGTTTGTATAGTTATGATTACTAATATTGAAATTACACAAGCAGAGACAGAAAGCAATTGAGGACTGACGGGCAAGGACAATCACGCCAACAGCTTATGGCTTTCTGCGCTTCAACGCGGATGAATCAAAATGATGCAGTCGTGAACCTGGCACACGTTGCGTTGCTGCACGTGTGTTGCAACGCGCCAGCGCTGAGGTTGGGCAAGCGCGTGAGATAGCGGGCGGGCGCGCGCTAGTGAACGCAAGCGTGGCTGCGCAAGCGCGCGATCACATAGGCAGTTCAGACACACATGTCCAGTTCAATCACACATGTGCGTACACGTGGAACACACATATGTATACGACTGAAACAGTGCGTGCGGCACACGCAGATGCGCACCCGTGATCACACATATACGTTCATCTGCGGCACACGCATAAATGTGTTGAGCTGGAAAACAAACACGTGCCTCTTGGAAAGCACACACACACACACGTGTGTGTGCATCTGGAACACACATATGTGTTCACCTGCAGCGCGCTAATGTGTTCACGTGGAACACACACGAACACACATGTGTGTTCACTTGGAACACACAAAAGCGTTTCCAATTCAGACACACATGTGTGTACACGTCGAACACACATGTGTTCACACGGAACACAAACACGTGCAATTAAAGCACACATGTGCGTGCACGTGGGACACACATATGTATACCACTGGAACACACGTATGTAGTATGGGAGACACATGAGCTTGTCCACCCAGAGAACCGTGCCAGGTATCCAGGCTGGGAGGCCTGGCACGGCTCTTTGGGTTGACGGGTTCGTTTGTCTTCCGTTGTCTCGCAGCTTGGATGCCCCCTGTGTCTCCCTTCATTTGACGCTTGTTGCTTCTCAGCCTGGATGCCTGGCACGGACGGTGGACGGATGTGCTTCCTTTGTCTAATGAATCCGTCAACCCAGAGAGCCGTGCCAGAAACGAGGCAAATGTGTGGGGTTTCAAAAGTATGGATTTAAGCTAATTTCAATGTCCGACCCGTGCACTTAAGCCCTGCTCCTGTGTCTGCACCTCTGATCGGAGCACATGTCAGAACCGGGACACGGTTGAATGTTTTATTTTGTTTTGGGCACTCGTGAAAGCAATGCAAAAACCGGCTGCGCTACAGAAAGTGCATTTGGCAGCAACAATGGATGCAAACGCCTTCGTCAAAGTAGTTCACTACTGGAAGGGCAGCCTGTCAAATCCTGTGGGGTCACTGTGCTTTTTCTATTGGTTGCTGAATTACCCGGGGGGTGGGGGGGGGGGAGGCAAAATCGCTGAGTCAAGAAATCCTTCAAAATCACGGATTTAAGGGGGCCCGCGTACTTAAGAGTCGGCCCGTTGTCTGAAACCACGGAACTTGCTTATTTTCAGAATTTGCAAGATTCGGTGGCTTTTTGTGTGACAAGAGCAAATTTTGCTGAATCATTGAGCAAAACATGGTGGGACCGAGCCGTGACGCAATCAAAAACGTCGCATGTCAGAAGTGCACAATGTTGTTGTTTTTTTTTTGCCAAATGGGGAGTGATGGCAAGGATTTGTGGGAATGCTGGATGATGGTTGACAGCTTAGAGTGAAGGCCGTGAGAATGGGGCTCGCTAAGCATATGGAGATGGTGCTGTAGTCAGGGCAGCTAGTACTCAAGTGGGAGCTCCTGCCTTGATCACCGGGCCACATTCCACAAGCACGGCCAGCCAAGAATATTAGTGCAGCCAAATTTCGTTGAGTGCAAACAAAATTCCTTTAGCACGTGCAGAAAAAAGAGCGGTGCAGCCGGAAATTCCTCATGCGCAGCCGAAGTTCCTTGATTGCACCCCCCCCGAATTTAAGCCCAAATAGCCGGCAGCCAAAATTCCTTAAGTGCAGCCAAAGTTCCTTAAGTGCAGCCACCATTTCCTTAAGCGCAACCAAAATTCCTTAAGTGCAGCTTAAATTCCTTAAGTGCAGCAAAATTCCTTAAGTGCAGGGTTAATTAGCTTAAATTCAGGGGGGGGGGGTGCACTTAAGGGTTTTGGCTCCTGCTCGAGATGAATCTGGTGGTGAATTTAGTGGTTTTAGATGCTGAAACAGCGCTTTTGAGCCCCGAAAACCCTTAAATTCACCACCAAATTCATCTCGAGCAGGGTCAAAATCCTTAAGTGCACCCCCCCCCCTGAATTTAAGCTAATTAACCCTGCACTTAAGGAATTTTGCTGCACTTAAGGAACTTTGGCTGCACTTCAAGAATTTTGGCTGCGCTCAAGGAATTTTGCTTGCGCTCGAGGAATTTTGGCTGCACTTAAGGAATTTTGGCCGCACTTATGGAATTTTGGCTGCCGGTGACTTAGCTTAGATTTGGGTGGTGCACATAAGGAATTTGATCCGCCCTTTAGCCGCACTGAAGGCATGTTGGTTGAGTTTTGCACTACAGTTTTGTTGGCTGGGCCCAAGTAAAAGTCACTTGCGTTGCGGCGTATGTTGAATCTCAAGCCGGCAGAGCAAAAGTCGTGAGAATGCTGGTCTCGCTGTAAAGGCACGTTGCGTGACAGTAAATTTGCATCGTCTCTTGATAAATGGGCTCAGTTGTTGATGTTCCCACGCCACTTTGTTTGTATGGGGCTGCCTTTTTTTGACCTTGCAACGCGTGAGTACATTTTAATTTGATATTGGGCCTTGCTGCACTGAATTGCTTGGATCCATGGGTGTTTCCGTGGGGGTTCTGAAGAAGGCTGTTGCTGAAACTGGGGTATGTGCCGCGTTTTTCATTGCTGACCTCGCCAGATCCTGAAAACATGTCTATCCTCACCAATTGTTCACACCCTGCTTCAATCGGGCTAAACGCGCCAGAAACGTGCTTAAGTGCAGCGGGCGACCTTGATAATTTGCATAAATCCGTAATTATCCCCCCACAAACTGACTCCTTGAAATGGTCTGGTGTGTGCCACCCACAGTTTATACTGATTTTGCTCTGGTTTGCAACATGTGTGATCTGAGTCAGAAAATGCCCAAAACAACACATTCACCGGGTGTGAGTTTCAAAGGCTCAAACAAGGCAATGACATCAAGTCCGTATTTTGCATTGTTCCAAAAATACATGGCTTTTTCGGGCAGTTCAGCTTCGAAAACACACAAGATTGAAAATCATTGGGTTTCAGCAACACTGAAAACTGCCCCACCCTTAAGTACACGGGCCCCCCCTTAAATCCATAATTTTGAAAGCCAACAGGCAAATGAAGGGAGAGGGAGACAAATGAACCCGGCCGCTCGAAAAGCCGTGCCAGACATCCAGGCCGGAAGACATCGGGACACAAATGAAGGGAGACAAAGGGAGACAAATGAACCCGTTAGACATGCAGGCTGGGAGACAACGGGCGACAAATGAATCCGTCCACCCAGAGAGCACCAGAAGGGAGACAAAGGGAGACAAATGAATCGAGCCGTGCCAGGCAACCTGGGAGACAACGGGGGAGACAACAAGGGGGAGACAAATGAATCGTCCACCCAAGCCGTGCTAGACATCCAGGCTGGGAGACAACGGGAGACAAATGAAGGGAGACACAGGGATACAAATGAACCCGTCCGCGCGGAGAGCTGCCAGGCTAGGAGACAACTGTGCCAGGCATCCACCAGCAGGAGGCAAATGAAGGGATCCGTCCGCTCGGCTGTGCCAGGGAAGACAAGGGAGACAAATGAACGACAAATGAAGGGAGACAAAGCAAGACAAATGAACCCGCCAGAAGCAGTAAACTGTTTGGGGAAAATATGTTTATTTGTTATTTGTTTCGAGGCAACGGGCGCTTTTGCTGTGTACCCAACATGTGACCTTTTGTAGTCGCGCGACCTACGTGCGTATGACTCTGTGCCACCAAAAAAAAAGAGTTTCTTTAAGTACATGGCACCCGTGTCGACCTGCAAAACCTGGGTACTGCCTCACATGCCGAGCGGATCGCAAATCGCCCACGCATCGATGTGCTTTTTTGGGCAGCCCTATGGAAACCTCATGGGCTCTTTTGGAACCGTAGGTCCTCTCCAAATCGATCTGCTAAAAGTTTAGAACTTTTGGTGAAATGGAAACTCAACCACAAACCCACCAGAACTCACTAAAAACACCAAGAAACGCGCCCTTGGTCAGCAAGTTCTTTGGCTCAGGGGGAATGCGGTAAAAAAAGAAGAAAGTGCCCTAGCCATCTGTAGGTTCATTCTCAGCGGTTGATTCCTTCGCAACCCTTCCAACCACAGGGTTGCTTCCGGCGTCCTGCAAGGAGACCATGTGAAGCTTGACGCGGCTGGGCAGCTTTTGGAATCGTCCGAGTCTCTGGTGTGCCCTCTTCAAACCTGGCCAAACTTGCGAGTTGACAGGGGAATGAGTTGGAATGACCAAAAAGGAGGGAAAGAGAACAACAAAAAAGAACGAAAGACAGAACAACAACGGGAGACTCTTCTCTCTAAACGATTCAGTCGCGTACCCTTTGTATAAAACAAACACAAAAATAAATAAATCAGTACATAAATAAATAAATAAGAAAATGTATACCTAAATAGAAAGACAAGTAACTAAGGAAATAATCCCCCCCGCCCAAAAAAAATGATAACAATTAAAATTATAATAATAAAGTAAATGGGAAAAAAAGAAAAAGAAAAACCCTGGACGCTCTCTTCAGCCCCGCCCAGCGCGCCTGATTTCTTCAGGTCCTTCAGGTTCAGCTTCCAGGCCTTCTGCCGCTCCTCCGCCAGGCCCCTCTTCCCTGCCTTCCACAGCTCGCGGATCAGCACCGCCTGCGAGGCGCCAGAAAGAGCCCAGGGAGGGGAACGCAAGTAGAAGCTACCGCTACAAGAGCGGCTGTGCGGCTGGAAGCGGCAAAAAAGGACCCTCCCTTCGGCAAGGACCCTGGAGCTTGCCTGAAGAATTTTCAACATAACGCGACCCCGGCCCCCCGCCAGCCCGGCCCACAACAACAAAAAAGAGTTCTGGCAACTTCAAGGATGGGCGTGCCTTTTTTTGGAGTTGGCACACTTTTAGCAAGAATGCAGGCCCATTTGCGACCCTTTCAAATTTGCTTTTTGGGTCGCTGCGGCTTTCTGTGGCATTGACTGGCCATGTACCTGGACATGAACTTCAAGGGACCCTTGGACATAATTAGCATGGGACTTTTGTCCACGATTAGCACACCCCCCCCCCCGTATCTTTCGAGAATCCCTGCTTGTCGCCTAGGGAATCCCAGGTTCCAAAACAAAACCAAGGTCCCAAGTTGGCGATGAAGTTTAGTCGGAATCCCCGTGTCTGCCAAAGGACATTCAAGCCATTTTGGGAACACCCCTATTCAGAGAAGCCCATATCCAGATCCGTCCCTGCGGTGAATGCCCGAAATGTTGCTAGTAACAACCGAACTCGCTTAATTCCCTCTCATATACCATGGTTTTGTGGTTGAGTACTTGGGTGTTCGGCCAAGTTAGCAGATGTCTGGCAACATAGTTACAACCCGCTCAGAAGCCCCCGCTCAGTGGAGTTGACCTTATTAACAGGTTATAACCCAGGTGCTAACCCGAACATCCAAGTAGGCTTGGTTTACTAACGCAACATTCAGGGCATGTTGTCCCCGGATTAATAAACTCCTGTTTGTCAATATGAGGGTGGTCCTATCCAAAAGTGATGAATCCCCACTGAAACTGGGGACACCCCCATTTTTCTAGACAGGGGTTTATTAATCTGGGGTCAACATTAGCCCTCGGACGTCCAAAAACCGCTCGTCCTGCAGCTTGGGGTTTCTGCCCACCGCCACGATGCCGTCGATCTCCCCCCCCTCGGACACCGCGGCGGCTTTGATCCGCGCGAGCCGCAGCCTCCCCAGCACCTCGCGCGGCGGGCCGCGGCGAAGACGAAGCCGCCCCGGTTTATTCACACTGCGGATGGACGAAATCGATTTCGCACCACCTAAGAAACCCTGGAATGATTCGATTCCCCCTGTAAATAACAACAACAGATGGTTTCCCATGGTTTCCCATGGTTTCAAAGTGGTGCAGGAGTTCGTCCATCCACAGTAATCGACATGGGCCTTGGCCCCTCCATTCCCCACTAACCCAGGTTGACACCCCCAAATTTGACTAGAGCTTCTTCATACTGCGGATGGTTACGAAATCCATTTCGCACCACCTAAGACATGATGGGAGACCATTGTCGTTGGTATTTACAAGGGAATCGAGTCATTCCAGGGTTTCTTAAGGGGGTGCAGGATTTCGTCCATCCACAGGAGAGGGGCAGTGCTTGGCCCCTCCGAAAGCGGTCTGATTCTTCGAGACACCCTCAAATGTGCATAAACTGGGGTTGGCTAATTGGGGTCAACATTGCTCCCCGGAAAATTTAAAAGAATTCGGAGGATTGAGCAAGAGGAGATTCCTCTACAAATGGGAGGTGTTTTGGGTTCCATGTCATTTTGCTCTTGTTGCCTTGTTGCGGTTGCCCAAAAAAGGGGGTCCATTTCCCAGGTTAACCTGCAGAAGAGTACTGGCGGCGGAAGAACCTGAAAAACCTGTTGCCTAAAGAACAATTTGCCCTCCTAGCATGGGACCTGACTCTGGGTTGTGGGCATGAGTGCGCGTGCGCGTGCGTGGCATGGGCGTGTGCTTGTTTCTGTTCCGGTGGCTGGTGGCAAGGACGCCAGAAGCACCCTGATTTGGGTTTGCGCATAGGGCCCAATCCCACGCTGGTTGTGCACTGTGGCTGGTATGCACGACCAGCAGTCTAACTATTTAGGCCCTTGTAGCACACAAGTCCGGGGCATTTTGACAAACAGAAAGAGAAACAAAGGCTTTATTTGGGACTAAGCCGGCCTTCTGAACAAGTACCAAGTGCAGGAACTCAGAAAGTAAGAAATAGAAGCTGCGCTTCCAATTGTGCGTTCTTTCGGGGGTCCCATTTCCTACACTCGTGGGCTTGTGCTTGTTGCGAGCACACTTTTCAGGTTGGCTTGAAGCAAAAAAAAATGGAAACTGGGCTCATCCAGCCATTTTGAGAACCCCACCTTCTTCTTCTCGTGGCCCGAGAGGCATTTCTCGGTCATGGCTTTGGCCAGCTTATTCTGCCCAGCGCTGCACAGGTCGTCGATCACCTCGACGGAATCAATCCGCGGATTTAGATTTCCGCGGATTTCTTGGCTTCCCTGACCTGGTTCTCAGTGAGAACAGGGTGAAGATGGGTCCTTTCAACCTTTGGGAGGTTGGAGTCTTAGGCCGTTTTTGGTGGCGGTTTTAAGGGAAGCCAAAAGGAAAACCACAATTTGTGGCCCCCCCCTATTTTGAAAAATACCCCATCGGTACCCTAAAAAAGCAAGTTGGGGGTTAATAAATTCGGGACACCAAGGCTACATGCTGACAGGGGTCCGTGTAGGTCCTCTTGAAACATCACCCCTACCAGTGCAACGTTGCCTTCACATCGGCGAGAACGGACTGAGACATGGACATTCCAAACCTTAAACATCTCTCAAACCTGGGCTGTCCGTTTTCAGATCCTTTCCAAAAGTTTAGCTTGTTGGGTTAAATACGGAAACCCAGCCACTAACCCAACTCGGAACAACTCCAAACCCAAGTTGAACCAGGGAACTCTTGTGGGTTGCAGTGACAACCCTTGAAAGGCCGAAAGGAAGACGCCAAAAAGCCCGAGTTGGCCTGGCCCGCCAGCTGCCCTCCGCGCCTTTTGGGCGGTGACGTTCAGGCGCCGCCCGAGGTTCGGGAAGCTCTGCAAGTACAGCGCCTGCCAGCCCCAGGTCCCGGCCCAATGGGCCGACTTGACCCCAGCGGATGCGGCGGAACCAGATTCCCTTCGTGAGCCCGAACCGACATGTGCCATCTCAGCTCCGTTCAATGGACTTGGGCTAGGGGATGGATTGGCCAAGAACGACAAAGCCCCAACTGCGCGCTTGCCACGAAGACGGCCCAGACCCACAAAGTGACTGAAGTCCAAGTCCCGGAACTCTGCGAGTGTCTCACTCGGGACTCCTCTTGGCTAAACTTCGCGCGGCAGTCTCCCGCCTGCAACATGCCTTTGCCGCAACTGGGATGGGAAAGCCTGTCCTGTTGCGAGTTTCCACATGCTCAAACGTCGTCAAGCCGGAACCATCTCCTTTTCCACCAAAAGGCGCTCAAACTGGGCTGTCCTCAGATCCCACGCTAAAGGTTTAACTTTTAGCTTAAATGGAAATCCCCACTACACACTAAAAGGCTAAAAAGCTGAGGGGATGGCTGGGAGCGAACCACCAAGTAAAAGGAAAACTCAAAAGGACTGCAAGGGCCTCGTTTTTAGAGGCGTTTCTTACGTGTACACCATTGGGAAAGATCCAGCGATCCAAAAAACACAAACAACTCGAGAAACCAAAACACCCACAAAACAAATATTATTATTATTACTTATAAGAAAAAATGATAATTGTAATACAAGGAATGATTACACACTCCATGATCCCCTCCATCAGGCCCCCTGGGCTGCAATCCTAACTTGGTTTGTTTGTGGTGTCTTTGCAGTTTGGGGCAGAAAAAATTGAAACAAAAAAAATAAAACTGAAAAGAATATAAGACATATCTATATGAATGGAGACAATCTTGGTTTCTTGCTTTTCGTTTTCTCGAGTATGAATCTTTTGGATCAGGACCTCCTTTCCGAAGGGGTTCGCGGAAAGTTTGTTGCAAAAGAATGCAACACAAGTTCGCCAACACGATGCACACAAACAAGGTCCCATGCCCTTTGCAGGCCTTTTGTATGCATTTTGAATACTTTCCCAGATGCATAAAACATGCTTGAACATGCATACCAACGCAGACAAACAATACACACAAAAGCACACTGCATGCTTGTTGTGTGATGCCATTGGTCTGCATTTCAGATGCATGCTGGCACAGAAACACATAAACAATGCTGACTGTCCTGCGTAGTGCCTACACAATGCAAACGAAATGCAGTTTGAAGGCATGCCATGTGCATGCAAAATGTAGTCTGAAGGCAGCCATGCCAGAGCCAAAAACCCATACAGCTAGAGCTACAAAATGCACACAGAATTGCGCACTCATTTCGCATGCTCTTGGTATGAATTGTGGATACTTTCTTAAATGCGAACAATATGCATACCAAAATCATACAAACAGAGAGAAAACAATACGCTGCATGCTTGTTGTATGCCTTTTGTGTGCGTTTCGGATGCAGGTTGGGAACACATGCAGGCAAAAAAAAACATACCCACAAACGCAAACAACATGCATTACGAAACGCACACAAAATGCACGCAACATCGGCTGACATGAATCACCAGCCAGCACACGTCCCAAGGAAACACCACACAGCGTCACCAGCATACCCAGCATTGCCAGCATCATGCAGCAGGTTCTCGTGGTTCGAAAACTGCATGATCCCGACTCACCCCCATCTCCCCCATCCACCAAACACAACTCCAGCCACAAAGTCGCTTTCCGCCAACAAAAACGTGAGACTCCAGAAAAATAAGGGCAAGACCTCTAGGCCTTCATGAGGGGCAACAAGCTTAAGTGAAACCTGGCGATGAAGAAGCGAGCATTTCAGAAAGTAACTCAAATTCAGCTTCGCAAAGACATAGCATCTGTAAGTCTACATAAAGTCCTATGATGAGTAGCCACATTCCAATACTTCACACCTTCAAGTGCACCACAAGAATGCACTTTTACAGCGTCCTGCTCTCAAACAAAAAGTCTTGCAAAACAAAATGCAGCTAGGAAAAAAACAAAAACCAAAAACAAAAAAAACAGAAAATCAATCAAAACGTGCTGTGTGTTTCTTCTCGGAGAGGGTAGAGGGAGAAAAAAAGAAGAAGAAACAAACGCAGTGGCAAAAACGCCCCAACACACCCCACCCCACCCAACACCCCGCAACACCTCCCCCCTCCCCCCCCCCGCGCCAAAGCCCCGCCTGGTGCTCCCAAACCTGGGAGCCCAAGGCCTCGCGGCCCAGCGCGAGCAGCGCCTCCTCCGCGTCCTCCTCCCGCACCTCTCGCCGCTGCCGCGACCGCGCGGGCGCGGGGTCGGACAGGGCACGGGGGGGACGGGCGCAGAGGTGCCGTGGTTGGGAAAAAAATAGATGGGCTTCCCTAAAACATGGGGTATGAACCTCAGAAGTGGAACCCATCTATTTTTCAGCAAGCTGAGCTAAAAAGGAGATTTATGGGACGTGGGAAGCTGAAAACGTGAACTCAGCGCTTCAACAAAGCCACGGTTCAAGCTTGGTTGACGTTGGAAGGGGAGCAAAATTCAAATTGTTTAGCAGTTAAGTGGGGATTTCAACCACTAAACCATTTTGCAGAAATGCAAAATGTTTCCCAATAAGAACCATTGCAAGGGGGGTGTTTGCGGGTGGGGGTGTGGGTGGAGGGTGGGGGGGGGGGGGTTGTTGGGCGGCCCTCACATTGATTCAGGTCTCAAGCAACTGCCACGGTTGCAAGTCCATCAAACCAAACTGGAAATTGAGGATTTCTCTCCGAGTGCCGGCAATCAAGCCTTTCAAAATCTGGGAGCCTCGCATCACCTAAGAAACTATGGTAAGGATCATCGTAGGGTTTCTGAACGGTGTTGCGAAATGGGTTTCGTCCATCCAGTACCTTTTGGACTGCTTGACTGCTTTTTGGTCACCCTCGGGGGTTAAGCTTGAGGATGTCACTTTGGTGGACCTGGAAATAAAAGGCTAACCTTTCAGAGAAACCAAAAGGTCAAAAGGTCGATTTGCTTTGGGCGACTCACAACTCGCAAAGGGGCACTGTTTGATGGAATCCCTAAGGGGGGTAGGTACAAGGGGTACAAGGGGGGTGGTGGGTAGTAATTGAGAGTCCTAGATCCTCAGCGTTCTTGAGGGAACCTTCCCCCCCCCCCCGAGAAACTCCACAAATGTCAGACCTCCCTTGCCCGCACGTGAAAGCCACTGCGCCCAAACTGTGCCTCCCAGCTCTGCAGGAGTCTCAGCGCTGCCATGCGGCTCCGGTTGCTCGCCCGCCAGAGCCTGCGGTTGACACTGTCGGACTTGCCCCGGGTGGTTGGCAGCAACGTGTTTTGTTGAACATATGGGTGTTTCTCCAAAAAGAACAACTCCAGGTCGCTTTGGGTGTCCTTCTAAAACCATCCAAAACAACTCCCGAGTTTGAAGCACACCCACATGTTAGCAGGGTGAGAAAAGAGTGATGGCACAGCCTAAATTTAGTCCTCAAATGACTAAGTCCGAATGGGGGAGGCGCCCTCTACACTATTTCCACCAAAAGAGGCTCACGTTGAATTGGCCCAAAAGGTGATGCTCAAAGCCACCCTTGAAGAAGTATGGCAATGAAATTCATAGGCAGCCCACTAAACGACGTCCACTCAGTCCCCAATCAAAATTCAAAAACCACTATTTCTCACTTCCTGAGCGGATTGGCCAGACAAAGCTCCCAACCTTTTTTTGTTTACCACTAAAACTATCTCCAAAAAAGGTTCCTGTCCATGAACTCAAGTGAACTCGATTCTCGGGGTCCCCAAATTGAATGGCAACCTTGTTATTGTAGAGGGTAAGTCCCCAAACACCAACCCACCAAGCCTTAAACCACCAATGGAAAGCTGAAGCTGAAGGTCCTTCTTGGAGAGGGTACCTTCTGGTGGTTGTTGTCTTTAAAGGGAAGCCCAAAGGAGAAAACCACGACATCCCTTTTTCTTTCGGTTTTTGTTTTCAATAACCGTTCAAGAACCAGCCTTTCCCCCAGGGTTTTTGCCGGTTTTCTGGAAAGAGAAACGGATCCCTGGAAAGAATGGGGGGAATGTTGGGGAAGGTGTGGCGGTGCCGAAGGGGACAAGACTTGGGCTGCCCCTCGAATTTCGGGGGGGGGAAGGGGGGGAATTCCCCGGGTCCCCCCCCCCCAACCCTTGACTCCACCTGCCCCGATTCCCCGACTCGATGCGCCCGGCACGCGCGTCGAGCGCCGCGCGCCGAGCTCGAGCGGCGAGCCTCGAGGCCACCTCCGCGGCCTCGGGGCGCCACTGGGCCGTGAGGTTCAAAGAGCCCAGCTGGCCGGACAGCAGCCCGGCCAAGTTCTCCGGCTCCTCGTGAGGAGCCGTGCGGAGCCGTGGGGTGGGTGGGCCCCCACAGCCCCGGAAATCGGTGCGGCAGGGTTTGGAGCCCAGTGGTACAGATAGGTGTTTGGGGCGTTTCCCAAAGAACCTGGGAAACAAAATCCAAATCCAGCAACTCAGGGTCACCTGAAAGTTTGACCTTCCGCCAAAAAAAAAAGAGGAAAAGAAAGAAAAAAAGCCATTTGGCTTGGGAGCGTGGCTGACATGGAATCCCCAGATCTGTGATACAACACAAAGGGCTAACCCCTAAGACTAACTCCCCATGAAAAAGGGGGAGACTTCCCTTGCATCACAGAAGTGGGGATAGCCCCTGTGGGGGTTTTCAGTCTCAATCTCAGCTGTCATCTTTTTGCTCATTCTGCGGATGGTTTCGCGAAATCCAGAAATCGCAACACCAGTGAATGAAACCATGGGAAGGAAACCATAGCTCTTGCACCGTGATGAAATCCCAGCTCAGTTCGCGCCATAACGTTTGTTAGTCTTTACGTTGGGGAATCGAATCATTCCTGGGTTTCCGAGCGGCGGTGCGAAACGGTTTCGTCCATGCACAGTAACACCCCCAAACACGCCTGCAACAATGGTAGGTCAAGGGGAGTGAGTGTATGCAGGTGGGGGGGGGTGTGGTTGATCGGTTTAGGTGGCGGTTTTATCATTTAATGTTGACCCCGGATGAGTGAATCAACCCCTATTGAGTGATATGGGAGGTGTCCCTGGTTTTTGTGGGGGTTCATCACTTCTCCCTCCAATTAATCAACATCGGGTTCCAAAACCCAAACCCCCCAAAAAAATAAACGGCAAGCACCCGAGAAACAGATCCGACTTGACCCAAGTCTCCCCTCAAGAATACGAAAAACTTCACAAATACGAGAAGAAACATCAGGCCCAAACCAACAGTGTAATTACCCCATATTCTGGCTGGCCTCTGGACCGCACAAGCTGAAACCTCTGGCTGGTTGGCAAAGGGGCAAAACCTGAGGTATAAAGATTCAAGGGACAAAACCTTTCAGAGCAGCAAGGGGCCTCCGGGGTCCTTGCAAAGACAAAAATCAAATTGGCAGCCCCGTCACAGGTGCAAAGTGCTCTCAAGTTCGCAAGCCCTTCCAGAGAAAATGTTTGGGAGTCCGCCGACGCGCTCCCTGTTCAAAGTGTTTTGCCAGATGGGGCGGATGCGGAACACTGATCAAGCGCACTGGCAAATCGAAACAGACTTTCGCATGTGGCTGTGGGTCAAAACCAATGGGATCCCACTTTGGGATAGGTGCACCACCCTTTAGAACCTATTTTAGTGGGGATTGGGATGTTCACTGGGGGTACGGGGTCTGACCCATGGCCATGTCGATTTGCAAGTCTGCTAAACTGTCCAACCCTGGGTACGGGCCTACAACAAATGTTACCCATCGTGTTATGCCTTGTGCCATATTGGAGGGGGGGGGGCCATCGGATAGACTTCCGTAGGGCTGTCTCAGCCCTGCGCTATTGGGGGGGGGGGGGGGGGGGGATCAATCATGAAACCACCCTGAAATCTAGTGGAAAAACATCACCTACACAAGAAAGACTGTCCTCCAGAAGAAGCGTCAACATATGCGGTCGCAAAGGACATGGGTAAATCGGTGCGACTTGGAAAGCCCTCCAAAGTCACTCGCAAGATAGCCACAATGGCCCCCGCACCACTCCCCCCAGAGCAAATTGGGGGACATAACCCATATATGACAGCTGTAGAGTGGTTGCATATGCCACTGAACCGCTGAAGGCCATTTTGAACCTCTGGGAATCAGTGGTTTGCCGGTAGCGGACATCACCATAGATGACCCTGACATGAATCAGGGGTCCTCTCTCCAGACCCCTGGAAGAAGATTCAAGGACCAAAGGCTCGGCTTGAGATGAAGCCATCCCAAGATGAAGCCACCCAACTAGAATCAAACAACCCATCTTGTGGTTCGCCTTTTTGCGAACCACTCGAAGCCCTGATGCTTGACCCGAAAACCCGACTTCCCAGAAGCCGGAGAACTTCGCTGGGGTGTCCTTCTTGGTTTCCCTCTAAAACCCCACCCCCCACCCAAAAAAAAGAAATACCAACTATAATTAATAATTATATATATATATTGTATATTTTATATATATATATATATATATGTATATATATATATATATGTATATATATATATATATATTAAAAAAAAAAAAAAAAAAAAAAAAAAAAAAAGAGCCACCCAACTAGCCAAACACAAAACATGTCCTGCATGGCGGCCACCTCAGTGAGGCACTCCAGCAGAAAGGCCTCCCCCTGCTGCTGCAGCTGCGGCAAGTGCTCCGTCACCGCGGGGTGCCGCTCGCTGGGCGGCAAAGCTAGCAGCGACCTCCGAACCAGTCAGTCACACGCTGCGCCCTTGGGGCGTTGGCCCCAGAAATTTCGCGGGGCCAGGGCAAACTAAGTCCAAACTGTTTTTTTGGCTGGTCAGTAAAATGATCTTTCAAAAAGTGCAAAGAAAGTCCAAACTTCTTGTTGGCCACTCACAATGGTCTTCCCAAGAAGTGTTGAGAGTCCGGAAACTCAGCGCAGTTTGGGTTTGCAAATCTTGTTACATCCAGACCCCGGCCACCTGAAACGGAAGCCACCAGGAGATGGTTTGAAAAGACTGTGAACTTCAGCATGCCTAAAAGATTGGGTCGACCCCACCGAAAAATATCACCTACATGGCCTATTTTGGGCTTCTGGTGATGTGACGACGTGTCTCTGCGAAAAGTTTCCCGGAGGCCTTGCAAGAAGCCCCTGCTGCATGGGGACTTGTTAGGCCCACAACTGGGGGGGAGGTCTCAAACATGGACCCCTTGAAAAAGGAACAAAGCAATCAGCTCCGGCTTGGAGAAACACAAATGGGTGTCTCAAAATGAGGGGCCCTCAAAGAATGTGTGGAGTTCCTTTTGGTTCCCCTTTAAAACCACCCAAAAAGGGTATCTTTTCAGGTGTAATCTTTTGAGGCCATAGGGGGCCCCTAGAGATCAATCTCAGGCGGGTGTCCCTTCTTTGAACCAAAACCGCCGGGTGGCCGCAGGAAGTCCCTGGGCGCGCCGCGGCCCAGAGCGGACTGCACGTCCGCCCAGCACATGCCCGGCAGGTCATGGCTGGCCTGCGAGAGGCGCTTGGCGCTTGGCGCTGGCGTGGCGTCTGAGATTCAGGCCGTTGGCGAAACTTGACACGGGCATAAGCTGTAGGGCAAAAACATGGTGACGCTTGGTTTCTGTTTTTTTGTAGCATGCTTGGTTTGGACTTGGCGTCCCAATCAACAAACAAGAAGCCACGAAAAAGACGCACCTGCTTTGAGGTCCGACCCACGTCGTTCAATTGAGTCAGAATCGTGGATAAACAAGCCCCAAATGCGCTGCTTCCCACAAAACTACTTGGATGTTGGAACCTCATTGAAGTCAACCACATGGGGGGGTGGCCAAAATTAGGGAGCCCTTTTTCTGATGCTGAACAAGGAACCCTGAAAAACCAACGAGCAAGCATTTGACCCCACTTAGCCCACCCTCCTTGGAAAGAATTGGACTATTCCCAGCAGTGATAGCTTCCAAGTAGAAAACAGGGGACGTTACAAAATCCTGTCAAACGCGCAAAAGGTTTAAGTTGAAGGGGTGCCTTCTTTGTGGGGGCCCCCCTTTGCTTTTGAATGAGACTTTCCAAAGGAAACCCTTGCCACGTCCCCGATTTTCAGAGACATTCATGGGGGGCTTCTTCCCATAACCCCGGGAAGCCGGCCTCTCTGGCGACGAGAAGCCAGACAAAGAGCCCCAGCCGACGCAAAGCTTGCCGCCGAGCCCACATCCGGCATTGCGCGGCTGAATCCGGACCCTCAAAGCGACCCTTGCGAACTCAACATGAGTTGCATCATGAATACCCTTCCACGTCTTGAACTCCAACAACCGGACTTGAGTGGCGTTCCGACAACTGTTAGTGACATACAACTATGATACAACTTATGCAGCTTGCACAGCTCGCTTTATCACCTAAGCATCCCAGGAAAGCGGACGGCGAAGGCCGAAAACGGCCTTCCAAATTCTGCGCAATCCTACGCACATGACAAGAGCCTTACTTGTTGGTTTGGATTTGGGTTTGAACCCATGGGCTTCTTGTGCGGGAAAATGGGAAACCAGCGGAAACCCGAACTCTCAGCTTCCCTTGGCTTTGGTCCGGGGTCCAATTCGGGGTCCGATGCCAGCGACTCGTTTCTTGCTCGCCCTCAAAGAGCCAGGGGTTACCTCCAAACCAGGGATCGATCTCACAGGCACGAGGCCGCCAGGCCGCCATAGGCCGCCTGCCCCACGTACTGCACAATGGCGCCCGAGGAGCGCTCGATCTTCTTCCGCGTTCCGCCCTGGACACCGACGGCACAAGGAGCAAAAGGGCAAGAACTCCTGCACCCGAAGAAACCCTGGAGTGATGACCCCCTGTAGAAACCAACACACCATGGTTTCCCGTCCTCCGCGGTATGCTCAGCTTCTGTTTCGCATTTTGGGTGCCAGATGTAGCTTAGTTTTGAGATCGGAGACCCCAGAATATTTCTCACACTGTGTAGCTTTGTAGCACAAACATGTACCCATCCCCACAACCCCTTCACTTTACACAGATTCCCCCAAATTACCACAGAAAATGGCCACCCAAAATCCTAGCTTCCACCACTACATAGGGGTTGTCACCCCACCAGTGCCTGAACCCGTGTCATTTGTTGGCACTTGCACCTGTCAGTCTGTCCACCACATTTCTTAACTATGGGGCCAGAAACTACTGATCTGCATTGGCTCTGAATCAATATGTGACTGAAGCAACGGACATCAGCTCGGCAGATGCGGTTGCTGGCACAAAGTTGCCCAGCATCTCGGGGCTGAAATTAATAAACTCCTTCACTTCACACAGATTCCCAGCGCAACCCAAAATCCTATCCACCAAATTAATCAGCGCTTGGAGTTTCTGTTCGGCGCCGGCCTGCTTTCCCAGGGCGTACGACAGCTCATCGTCTTGAAACGTCATGGTCTCCTGCGGCTTGAACCACCTTTTTCAGTGGTTTTAAAGAGAAACCAAAAGGAAAACCACAATCTTAGGGGGGGTTCACTAAACAAGAAGACACACCCGACTCAGTTGGCACTCTAAAACCGGCCTGAGGGGGCCTGGTGCCAGTTGATCTTGGTTCCACCCCCCCCAAAACCCCTCCCCCTTTTCCCCCAACAAAAACCCCCGTCTCAAGGCTGCCGAGACTCCGTGCCCCAGCTGCCGTCGCCGTAGTCCGCGTTCTTGTCCCGGTACACCACCTGGGCTCGGATCCAAGCTCGCAGGATTCCGCGGGAGGGGAGCTTCTGGGATTTGGACCTTGCGGGGGGGCTCCAACCCAACCGACGCAGACAAAATTCAACGGGAGTTGGTTCAGGAAATTTTGTTCAGGGCACGGGGAAAACACCCCAAAAGAAGCGCGGGGGCGGAAAATGTCCAGGACGCAGACAAACACAAACACAGGCACACACACACAGACACGCCGGGCGCAGCACGTCGTCGCGGATCTTCTCAAAGTAGCCGGGGACTTTGGTCTCTACAGCACTCAGCACCTGGCGAGTCACGAGGCGAGGCGACCGGTGCGAGCCTCGCCTTCAGTTCCGCTTCGATCCCTAGCTCCCGCCTTCAGCTCGGCGCCGCGCCGCGCTTTGACATTCCCAAAGATGGCCAACTTCTCATACTCCTGCGGTAGGTCCAAGCTGCCAGATCCCTCCCGTTTTGTAACATCTATCCAAGCTCCCAGCTACAACTCACTTCCTGAGTGGCCAAAAAGAGTCCAATCTTGTTCTGCGCCACTCAAATGATCTTCCCGAAAAGCTTCAAATCCAGGAATTCATGGAGTAAGGTAACCCTTCACCATTCTCCTTTTGCTTTAAGGAGTGGCTCCAAAGCCGAGAAACGGAACCACTGAGTATTGCTTTTCCATCGAACTGCTTCTGGTTGAAGCAACTTGCAAACACCTGGCCCAGTCCCCCCCCCCTCCCCCCTTTTGCACATCTCCGCCTTTGGCGCTGGCATTGCCCCTTCCGGCGTGCTAAGTCGGTCCTCTGTATCTGGGTTGGACATCCCAAGCCGAGATACGAACCGCTTTGTACGAGTTCCACTTGGGAATCCATTCATGACTATCCTCCGATTCTCCCAGAGAAGCGGAAGAAAACCATTGACTTTTGCCACCAAACCAGTTGTGGTTTACAGGGACCCGAACCTGCCCTACTGTGGATGGACGCAATCCTACACGACGTGGAATCCACTGCTGAAACCAGTGCTTGTTGGCATTTACAAGGGAAGCACATCATTCCAGGGCTCCTGAAAGACATCCACAGCAGGTTGCCTTGAAAATAGATGGTGTTAGTGAATGAAACTAATCTAAACCAGTGCCATCTGTTTTCAAAGCAATTCCACATTGAAGAAGATGCAAAAGAAAAAATCCCTTCATTACATCAATTTCAAGAAAACAAATCTTTATAATGTCGGGTTGAACTCCATGTTGGGCGCTCTTTTTCCATGCTTCTTCAGTGGCACAGCACGTAGAAGTCCGCCTGCCGCAGATCCGGGCGGATCAGCCGGCAGAAGCACTGCCGCGCCCCGTGCGCCCAGGCGGCCGCGGAGTCGGCGGTCGCCGCGGTGGAGTTCTGCAGGCAGGCGGCGAAGAGCCGCGCGGCGGCGTGGTCCGTGTGGTACCGGAAGCCCCCTGAAACAAGGACGAAAACTTGAGACCCAAGAAAGACACACAAAGAAGAAGAAGAAAAAAAAAGGCGCTCCGCGCTCGGGTTCTCGGACTTCAAAAAAAGAACAAAAACTTCAAAAGGTTTGAAGAAGCGTGTTTGTTTTCCTCACGACTCGCTTTGGAACAATCCGTGCACCATTAAATTACTGGCAGCCATGGACCAACCCTCGCCAAGGCTGGAACACAAAGGTTCTGCTGGCTGAGGCCAGCAGGTGCGTTTGGGGGGAGAACGGAAAATGGAGCTTAAAGAACACGCGGCTTGCGCTCGGCACTCGGCAAAGCCGAGCTTTTTCCTGCCCTCAAATCAGTGGCTTCACCCTCAAGAAACAACTGACAGAACGGGCGGCCGGGAAGCGCACAACTTTCCAAGAAGAGGTTGTGGTTGTGGTTCTCAAAATGAAACGATCGGGGCAAACGCGGGTTTCGGCCTTCTCCACTTACCAGGGCCCCATTTTGGAATTTTGGTTTTTTGAATTCGCCACAGCCATATGTGCACATCCCCTGGAAACATCAGGACCTGACTTGGACAAAGATTGGAGGGAACGGCTTGGATGCGCTCTTTGTGAATTTCATCTGTTCTTCCCCCTGTATTTAGTTCTCTTCTTCCCTGCAGGGGTGGAGCCACAGATTCCCCACATGCAACTCTCCAACTTCACTCCAACTCCTCCAACTCCTCCAACTCCACCTCAACCCCACCCAACCCAACTCAACCCTACCCCAACTCCCGTATTAAACCTGGCGATCCCCGCTGAAATGGGACATCCGCCCCCCACCCCCCCCCCCTATAGTGATCAACCAAACGGAATCATATCATACCATGAGGTTTCTGATTTCGGTGTCGCGAGACTCGCAGATTTCGAAACCATCCACGGCATGCTTGAAGCCCGGCGCGGTTTCAACCCAGGTGAGTCACCATCAAAACCTGGTAGTAAAATTGCCTACCCACATGCATGTAGGGAAATCAACAGGCGGCCGCGCCAATTTCTGGCTGGCCCCTTACCAACCTTCACCTTCCCAGGTTTGCATTGCTTAGGTGAGCCCCAAAAATCCCGCTCAGGCGAGCCCCGAAGCAGAAAAAAACTCCGTCCGCCCGCGCCGGGCTCGCAGCCCACGTTGTTGAAGGCGCCGTGGGTGGTGTGGTCCGTCCGGTCCTCGCTGGCCGTGTCGCCCCGCCGGACCACCGCGCTCGCCTTGGGTCGAACCTGTTGGCTGGCCCCTGAGGAAAAGCCTTGTAGCTTGTAGGTTGAATGGTAGGCAATGGTATGGGAGCAATGGTATGGAGCAATGGTATGGGAGCAATGGTATGTTGCTCGGACAGCATGCCCTCCCATGGAATCCTCCAGTCGATCGCTGGTTGAATCCAAAAGCATTTGCCCCAGGCGAACCATCCAGATCGGGGCGTTTCGCTGCAGGTTGAATGGAAAAGCACTGCTTTGCCCCCAGATGGTCTAAGGGGCCTTTTGGGCAAAGACCAGCCATCTGCAAATTCTGCAACGCAGTGAATGGTTGCGACATCTACGAGTCCCTCGCACCACCGAAATGACACCATGGGCAGGAAACCATAAGGCCCGTTGGTGTTTGCAAGGAAGTTGGGTGGTGCATCCAACAAACCTACAAAATCGGGCCCCCTCGCTAAAACATCAAAGCCTTAAAGGGGAAGGTGAAAACCCATCCAACTGTGGATTCCAGAAATCACACCACCGAAACCAGAAACCCAACGGAATGATTCGATTTCCCTACAAATCCGAACGAACAATTGTTTGCTTGCAATCTTAGTAATGGGCCATTGCGTCTGGGGCGGTTTGGGGATTGCTCTAAATACCAACAAACGTTCTGGTTTCAAAGGTGGTGCCAAATGGATATTGTCCATTCACAGCAGGGTTGAGCTGTGAAGAAGCTCAAAACAACCCAGAGCGGCTAAACATGTAAAACAAGGGTTGAAACCCTGGTGCCTCACTCTTGGGAAAGGAACTGGGGAGCCTGAAAATTTGCCAGCCATAACAAGACCGAAACGCAACCAAAACCAACCCAACCCAACCCAACCCACCAACCAACCATCACCCCATTACACCTGCATCCCTCACCCCTTTCAACCGGGCAGCTTGGAACTCCCCCCGGTCGCAGGCCAGGTACGCCGTGGCGGGAAACCGCGCCAGCGGCCTGGGACGGACATCTTGAGCGCCCGGACGCGCCGAAGCTTTGTCCCAACTTCAACTAGGTTGCTGTTGGCAAAGACATGTTCCTCTGTTGGGACTTGGGTTTCCTTGGGGCCAAGTATCCTCCCAATGCTGAAGATAGTGAGAGGAAGGTAAGGGTACCCTCTACGTGTTTTCTGTAACGACCCCTTGGCTAATATGGGATCCCTGCTGTTCCCTTGTATTTCCGTGTTCCTGTTGGTTTTAATGTCGAATCACTTGTTTTGGGTATGGAAAAATATGTTCTGTTCCGACCGAAAGTCCAAAGATTCGTTGCTAAATAGCCGATAAGGTTTGATAAAGGAAACCCGGATGAATTGCTTCTGAGAGATACAACTTTTCGTGACCACGAAAAGGAGGTTGCAAGCACTTTTTCCCGGATGTCCTATGTTGAGACCCTAGTTGGCCCATGTCAGGTAAGCAGGAATCAACCATGGACTTGACTGCAGGAACTGGGCTTCCGCTTCGTAACCTGCTGAGTTGGTTGAGCGAGGCTGAAGACTGGCCGGGCCCTGGTGAGAGCAAGCCATACCAAGCAGCCAAGGATGCAAGTTCTGAATGGATCTGGCGTTGTCGATGCTTTTGGGTTGGTTTTCAAAGAAGTGAACCCAGAACAACAATGTTCGCCTTTTGGGACCATAACTACATATGGACCAAAATGGGAAAACCAAAAGGGTCATGGCAGGTCGGCTTTGGACAACTGAGGAAATTCCAGAAAACTGGGTGCCAAGAGTCGAAGGCCCACGATTTCTTGCCGCAAAGGCACACCTTGCCAGCCAGGAGCCGAATGGCCAACCAGACTTCGGAGTTCGTGTTGTTGGACCACCTTGGTTGCTTGCAGCCGTTTTCGCCGATTCCTGTTTCAGAGGGCCCCAAAAAGAACCGCACACTTTGGAGTTTTTCCGGGCTCCCTCAAACAAAGACCCTTCGATCCACTAGCATGGATTCTGACGTTTCGGGATAAAACCCAAATAAATAAATCAAAAAAGGGCAACGGGCTTTTCCGACTTGAACAGTTGCAGTTTACTGCTGGAGTCCAACCAAAAAGTCTCCGCCACTTCTGGAGGTCCAAAAGGGAAATGGCCCTTTTTGGCCCTGAGAGCGGCTTTGGATGCCACCTGCAGGTCGTTCAGGAGTCAGGACCACGCCAAGCAACCCCCAGCCGTGTTGATCGAGGCTAAGTTGGGAGAAAAAAAAGAAAGCACTCGGTGAGGAGCCTTCGCAACCCGAAAAAGCAAAGGGATCAAAGCCCACTTTAAACGCACCCTGCAAAAAGCAAACTGTTCGTTGGCTAAAAACCAACCTCAGGCAAAAGCCGAAAGCTTGCCACGGCACAGAATACCCTCCCCCGTCACCTGGAGGATCGTGCCTCGGCATAGGCCACGCTGCTGAAAATCTCACGTAATTCCGCAAGCACAACAAATATCGCTTCATGGCTTCGTTGCATTCCCATGGGACCAACTCAGGAAAACACCCACGATCCAGTCAAGCATGGGTCCGTGGCGGCACTTCTCCCTCTGATTCCTTGATCCGGGGGATAAATTAGTTTGAACACTCGCTCCGTTGAAACCAAAAACACACACACACACACACACACACAACTCGCACCCCAAAACCACCAACACTAGTAGGCCAAACGGAGGCAGTTAAGGCTGTTAAACCACTTGGCCCGTTTTTTCCACCAGCAAGCCCCAAACATCCCAACCCCCCCCCCCCCCCCGAGAAAAAAAAAGAAGAAAAAAAACTGGTGGGTTGGACCTGGGTGCAAGGTGACCTCCCCCCTTCAGCCGTGCTGCGGTACGCCTGGCCAGACGTGAGCAGATCCCAACCGCCCAGCACCCAGCGGGCGGCACTTCGCGGCGCCAAGAGGTGGCGATCCTCAAAGTGTCAGCTGAGTCAAGTGAGTCACAATCAGGTTCACCAGAATCATGTAAAGAAACAAGAAGGCGGATGTCCGCACCTATTTTTGGTTGGGATTGTCTCTAACTAACCTTCATCTACCCGAGTTTTGATTGTGGCTCACGTGTCAAAACCCGGTATTAACACCGTGGATCCCCGGAACCATGCTTCAAGAACTAAGAAGGCGGATGTCCGCAACTACTTCTGGTCCCTTTCTAACCTTCATCTACCTTGGGTGCCCCTGGTGGCTCTCCTCAACATGCCAACCACCCCCCCTTCTTGCTTGGTGTTTACTGGGGTCACAGGCCCCCCCAAAAAAAGAAAAAATGTATCAAAATGGCAGTCCCAGCCCCCCTTGGTCCTTTTGCTTGTTGTTGAAAAATCTTGTTGAACCGTAAAATTGCAATGCAGAAGAAGCAGGTTGTGCCAAAATGCACCCAACACATGCACGGGAACCTAGATCGGTTTTACCAGAGTTCAGTGACAAAAGCTCTTGTTCAACTGGTCAGCATACTTGGGTCACAGGTCAAAGCCCGATATTAAAAATGGTAATCCCAGCCATCCTTGGTTTCCATAGCCCTTTCTTTTGCTTGGTGTTGGACTTCAACCAGAATTTTGGGTTGCAATAACCAATCTTGAGTTGGAAACTTGAGGGTCCTGGTCCCACCGAATCACAGGTCAAAACCCCCAGCATTACCATGGCGAAAATAATCCCCGAACCCTGCTTCAAGCATTGAAACAACGAGCGCATACCTACATCCCCAACCAAACAAAAAAAAAAAGAAGAGAAGATAAACGGCTGCATGTGCAGCAGGACGAAGCTCTCTTTAAAAACAAAACAGCAGGCCCCTTCCCAAGGCCACCCCCGCCCTCCAGCAACCACGCCGCATACACACCCCCATAGTCATCCGCGAAGGTATCGGGCAGCCAGACCCGCATCGGAGCGAGGGCCTCCAGCGGCGGGTGGGGGAAGATCCACTGCAAGTCAGATCTGGTGATCGCGACGCGGTCGTACATGGCGGACGCCTGACATGGACGCGACGCCAAACGCCTCAGTGACACCCTCAGTGCCCCCTTAAACCGGTGGAAAATGGCGTCGTTTTGGGAACTCGCAATGACTTTGATGAAGCCAGTCAGATCACATCCTTCGAAACTGTCTTCCTGGACCCGGCCTCCAGTTCCCGCTCTTCGATCATGCGCAAGCACTGGTGCATGGCGTACATGATGAAGATACTTGGCGTGCGCGCAATGAAAGAGGCACTTCGAGAAGGCGCCCCTCCCATTGAAACGAAAATACGACACGGACGAAAGACAGCAACCTGGTTGTGGGTTCCATGTTACCCCGGTAAGCAGGGTGTCATGCAGGGAAACTGGTTTGGCCTTTGGCGCATTTGCTGCGGGACTCCGCCCAATACTTCCAATGGATGCTACTCCTTTCTCCCCCCCCTGCTTGGTGAGTTTCCCACTCACGGGGTTCCTTATATGTCCCCTCTGCAAAGGTGATGTTAAAAACATCGCCCCTTAAAGATCAAAAAAAACTTGCTTTGCAAGGCTGGCCCAAATGTATCCAAGGGGCCTCCCCCCCCAAAAAGAAGTAGACCCTCTCCTCAGATGTTGAACCCACTTAGAAAATACATAACCTAGGTTCTAACTGGGGGAGAGGTTAGTTGGCTTGCCCTGCAACTTTTCCTTTCAAAGGGATTCATAACTGGGCTTGCAACCATGACGTGGTTTGGTGGTGGTTTCCCGTGATTTAAAGGCTGGCTTTACCTACACTTTGTTGCGGTTGACCCCTCTGCAAACCAAAATATTTTTGTGGGTCCAATCAAAAAAACCGAACTGTTTCAGCCAAAAAGTCCAAAGATCCGTTAATAGCCAAATCGCCATCTGCAAATGGATCCCTTGAGTGAGGGTTGGTTCATGCTAAAAAACTTGCCTGGAACTAGGACCCCAGCAAATATATATATATATATATATATATCTTTTTTGCCTGGTTAGTGGAAAACAAAGGGAACCCCAGAAAAGCAAAAAAGCAGAAAAGGGGGCCTTTCAATCAGGGATCAACGTTACATGTTGCCAGTCCTTTTTTCGGATTTGGAGCCTTAAAACGGCCATAAAGTACAAAAGTACATTCAGCTTGCCCTTCGTTGGTGCACTGGGCTTGCCTCACCGAATTTCCTTCCACTGGGTGGATCCACTGGGTGAGGGTTGGTTCATGCTGACCAACCCCAAAACTAAGTACATGGACCCACTGGGCAGCGCTCTGATCCAAAAACAAAACAAAAAACTTTTGGCAGGCCCTGGGTTACCTACCAAACCCAACCAAGTGGATCCACCGGGCTCCCCCCGCTCCAATGGTTCTCCTTCCTTGACGAGCCGCGTGGCGCCCTTGCGCCGCTCAAGTCGCCGGTGGCTCAGGCGCCGCCCGGAGGTGCCCAGCCAGTTGCCCCGGATCCGCATGGCCTGGTGCAGCGCGTCCCCGAAGCGGCGGTTCAGGTCGTCCACCACCAAACTCTCGTCCTAAGCCCGGAGAGGGAAAAAAAGGACCCCATGCAAGTGGTTCTACGTTCTGTTCTTCTTCTTCTTCTTCTTCTTCTTCTTCTTCTTCTTCTTCTTCTTCTTCTTCTTCTTCTTCTTCTTCTTCTTTTTTTTCTTCTTCTTCTTCTTCTTCTTCTTCTTCTTCTTCTTCTTCTTCTTCTTCGTGGGGGTCTTGATTTTTGTTGGTGTGTTGTTTGATTGCTTTGTTTGGTCCATTCAAGTGGTTGCACATTGATTTGGGGGAAAAGGGCTGTCAAAAGGGTTTACCTTAACAAGATACCTGCCTCAGCAAGGTGCCCTTCAAGTGGCTGGATGCGGGGGTCTCAAATTTACTTTTTGGGCTGTTTCTCTGAGTGCGCCCGTGTTGCCCTTTGTCCCTTTTCGTGGAGGGAATACCGGAAAAAAGGGGAAAAAAAGGGGAAAAAAAAACTGCTGCCATCGAAGGGGTGCCCGAAAAAGTGCGTTCACATGTTGGGGCTCTCAAAAAAGGCTTGGTGGCTGCTGATCCCTCTGCAAAAAGTTTGACTTTTAAACCCTTTGATTTGCCAAAAAGTTAAGGTCTAAAGATCCAACCCAATAGCAGTCCAGATTGGGTGTGGGAAACCGCAAAAGCAAACCACAACTTAGGGGGTTGCTTCGTGTCCAATTCTTCTTCGCAGCTGGCCGAAAGACCAAGACATGACAGGCGAACCTCTTTGGGGTTCCTTGAAACACATGCCGCGAAGGGAAAACCAAAAGGTTTGGCGATGAGAAACCAAGTCTTTGCTGTTGCTGTGTCCTGGTTTTGTTGTGAAAACGCATCCACCAGAAACAGCCGCTACCCTTCAAAGGCTGATTCGCCTTACAAAGGTGAGCGTAAAAAAAGGGGAATGAAACGGAACAAGGCAAACAAGATTATATAAAGTGACACAGGCCGCAGCATTGTTGCGTTTTTGTGTTGTTCGGCCCGAAGAACTGCAACGCCCATGAGGAAGTGCGAATCATGACTTACCCAAACTTGAACTCAAACCGGGTTACCCTTGCGCCCTAGCAAGCTGTCCACATCTCTCTTGCTGAAGCCTATGTAGCTAATAACGGGATATGTCAAATATATGTCCCGCCCCTGAAAGGGCGACCTTTGCGTATGTATTTGCATCTAAGAATCTATGTGTATGTGTGTGTATATATATATATATTGTATGTGTGTGTACGGGTGCATCTTAAAATAGGGGACCGGGTTGCTCCTTTGGTTTTCCTTCAAAACCACCTCAAACAGGGTATCGAGCCTCACAAAAAAAATGGCGAAGCTTACAATAACTCCAATGCCTGAAATAAGAATTGCATTCCCAAGTCAACAAGCTACACCCAATACCCACTTTTTTTCAAGGTACGCGATAAGGCAGTGGTGCCAACCCTTGACTAGAAATCCACGGCATCTACCTCAAATCTGGCAAATACGGATCCTCAAATACCTACCCTGCAAACCCACTTTGATCACATGGAACCTCACAGGAACCCGATCCCTTTAAGAAATGTCCATGCCCACCGCGAACGTCAGGTTCCATGTGAAAAAAGGTGGGAGGGTACATCATGGCGACCTCGTTCCCCCCCCCCCTTTGCCGGCGAAGCGGTGAGCTCAATTAGCGGGCCTGGAAGCGCACGCCCCGCACCAGCCAAGGAAAGGCAGCGCCATCGCCGAAGAGCTCGCTGGCGGCTTGCAGCTGCGAAGCAGACATCAAGGGCCCGGACAGGAAGATGTCCAGCCTTACGCGTCAACCCAGCCGATACTTTTTAGTTTAGCCTGGAAATATGGATTTCAAAGATGACTTCCTTTCCAAAAGCGGCTCAAAGGGGCATGGCAAGTTAGTGGTGGCTCGTGTGACAAGGGCCGCGGGGTTCCAGCACCTGTCTCAACTCCAAACCCAACCTCGGACCCGCACTGCTCATGAGGGAAAAAAAATGCGGCGTTTTGCAAAACGCCAAACCTCATCATCCCCAGCATTCCCAGCATCATCCCGCGTGAGGGAACCGCCTTTCTCGCCCGTCTCACGCGAGAAAGGCAGCCAACGTCACTGCCGGGTGCAGCCAACGGCCTGGAACTGCCTTTTTCGAAAGCTACTGCCAGCATGCCCAGCATTCCCGACATCATCCCGCAGGTAGACCCTCTTGAGAAAGTCTAAGCAAACCAAGTAAGAAATGAAAAGGGCGGATATCCATGCGGCTGGGACTCTCCCCAACCTTCACTTGGCCGAATCGGATTTCCTCTGGCCAAAAGATGCGTCTACCGCCTTTTTGCCTGGCAACTACCCGTCATAGCGTTTCTTGCAGGAAGTGATCCCTCCAACAGTGAACCCCCAAAAGTCATTGACACCTGTGCTTGAACCACCACGGGTTTATTCTCTTTCTGTTTCTTTTCTTTCCTTCTTTTTTTTTTTTTTTTGGGGGGGGGGGTATTTAGCAGGTTGACTGCCTGACCCCCAGCATGGCAGCATCATCCGCAGGAGCAGCAAGTGGCAGACTTGGGATATTGTCGTATCCTCATGGGCACTTTCTTTTTCAGTTCTTAAAGGAATAGTGTCCTGTTCCTTTCCTCACTGGAAATTGACGGTGAGCACCTTTTGAAACCTCTAAGTATGGCCTAGAGAAAAGGAAGCCGCAAGCTGAACAGCATTTCGCTTTGGGCAAGTGAGTTGACAAGCTTGACAAGCCCCTGGTTGAGGAGAGTGTCGCATGTCGACTTTTGGTAGAAACAGCCTCCCGTTTGATGGGCGACGTTGAAAAAGAGCTTGACATAGTCACCACTTGCGCGAGATGTTGTGCGAGCACGTCTGAAAACTCAGGAAGTCCTGAAGTCCCCTAAAATTTGTCCGTCTCCGTTTGGCATCCCTTTCAACACCATCCGAATGGGCACCAGTTTCAGGACTCAGGACAGCCCAAACACTAGAAAGGTAGTCAGAGTGCGAAAGCTCGTGCGGCGTCCCAAAACCAAAAACTACCTTCAGAGGACAGAAAGGAAACGAACACTGTCTTTAAGGATTTGGAAAGATGGGAAAGGAAACCACAAAGTCTAGCAAAAACCTCAAAAGTTGACAACATGGTGAAGTAGCACACATGCCAATCCCCTCCAACATTGAAGGCAGATCCAAAGAAGCTGAAAACTCAAAATCCCTGCCCAGGTCTTGCTCTCAAATGCGGGAGAAGTTGATGAGTCAGTTGGGATAGTTTCGTGCGGCAACCGCCCACCCCCCCCCGAACCCTGATTAAAAATACCACCATCTCCGTGGGTTCCCTTGGAAGAAACCCGTCCAAGCCACCCCACGCCCCGCCCTCCTCCGGGAACCGGCCTGTGCCTGGGGTATCGGCAGGACCCCCCACACAGCGGGTCCAGCAGATTCCGGCGGAACGCTTCCGCGGTGACGTGGGCCGCCCGGATCCGCCCCAGCACGCAGAGCGCCACCCGCTCCGACCGCGCGCGGGTAGCAAGTCCCGCGAGCAGGAGGCGAGCCAGAAACCGCCATGGCACCATGGGGGAAAAGGAAACGCGGCGCGATAAAAGATGTTGCTTAACTACTCTTGTGCACCACTTGGGAAGGGGGGGGTCATAAAATGAGTTGACCGTGGCTCAAAGGAACACTTCACGAAACATTCGGGGCTAACTACTCTATGGACGGGGGAAACTGACAAATCCGCTGGTTTAGGGGCTTTACACCAACTTGGGGATGCGTCTGCTGAGGAGTTGGGCAAAGTGAGGTTTGCGGTTGCATGCCAGAACTGGCGCGAGCATGCAACTAGTGTTGCTGCAGAGTCTCCCAGAGGCTGCCAAGAGATTGCTCGAGGTTCAACAGGTCAACCACCATGCGACTGGGCTGTCCGTTTTCTGATCCCCTGCTAAAAGTTTAACCTGAGGATTACATGGGCTTTCAAAAAAAAAAAAATCGAAGAAACCTACCATGTTTTACCAGAACTCCTGGCCCGTGCCCTGCGTCTTGGGCCAAAAGCTGCGTTTTTGGAGTGACGACGTCGGTTGGGTAACCTGCGTGTCTTTTGTTGAGCCAAGGTCAAAAGCAATCCCCGCCACTTGAAGACAAACCGCTTGGGTGACCCCTTCAATGCCGCTCCATGGGCGTCCAGACCCGGGGAAAGGCCGCGCTCAACTTGCGGGTGAAGAGGGTGGGAGGGTAGATTCTACCCTGAAGAAACCAAAACTGCAAGAATTTCGGGTCCCAAACACGGCCATATCATAGACCAGGTAGATTCTACCCAAGCACCGGAGTCTACCCCAAACCAAACTGTCCTTGCTTCGGGACCGCGAGCTCTCCACCTCTACGAAGAACCTGGGCGGAGCCGGTTCCGGGTGCTCTCGGTGCTTGGTGCTTGTTGGCGCCTGCGAGGTGACAAGAACGGCGAAGGCCCCGGTCCCCTCTTGGGCCCCCATTGAAACAACACAACAAAGGGTCAACCAAGGGAACAACCCAGCACCGATACCCGGCAACCTGCAAAACAGGCAACGGACTAGTCAAAACCCATACCCCAGCAACATACATGTTCGCCCTGTGGTTTGCCATGAACACAACTCCATTGAAACAACCCCAAGGGGGTGCCCCTCAAGCGACATAACCAAATGCATGAGCAAAATACAAGAATTCGCCTACCGGAATTGAGGCCATGGGCCAAATGACTCGTGCTACCGAAGAGCTCGCTGTCATATGAGATCTGCGGAACAATCCAACATCAGCTTCCGTCGAATTGGTGGATTGGATCTTTTTGGAGGTGGGGATCAAATCCAAATCCAAACCAAACCAACCCAAACAAATCGGCAACTACCTGACAAAAACCGCGCCAAAAACAAGCAACGGGGCCCACGTGTCGTCTCAGCTCCTGGCATGAGGGTCCCCCACTCCTCCTCGATGGTGCGAAGGAAGTTCCCGGCCTCGGGCAGATCAAGGCTCACTGCACTGGTCCATGATACATGGCTGCGGGCCAAAAATAGGCACCCAACATGGAACCCTGGTAAATGGACAGATGGACTAAAACCTGTGGTCCATATCCTGATTGGCGTAATTTTGACCCATACCCACATGGGAATCAAACGCTAGCTCGATAGGAATGGAATTCATCTGTGAAAGGCTCGCGCATTGGTTCGGATGGGTGAAAAGAACGAGGACTGCCTGTAGCGGAAGTCGCTGGAAACCAGAAGCTGATACATGGGGTGACCCTTAACTTTGGAAACTGCCCCCGAAAAAGAGGACGACTTTCACACGGGCGAAACTACCCATGGCCATTTTGTGGACAGAAAGATTGATCAACCCCCAAATGGACCATGGCCTTTTGAGTTTTGGTGTAAACAGCTTGTCAACCCTAGACGCACTCAATTTGCCGAGGCAAGGCTTTGGCATGCACCTTCTCCTGCGTGCCTTGCATCTCGACCATTCTTTGGGATCCACTCATATCGACGTGTTCCTTCTGCTTGCTCCCGTTTTTGCCTGGAAATCCCCGGCTGAACGCCTCACTTTTGGGGGCGCACTTTGAGCCTCAGAAACCGGATGGCCCAGCCAAAGGAAGCAGAAGACTCATTTGCAGAGATCGCCCCTTCCAAAAGCCGCCTTTGGCGGTTCTCCGGCTCGGAAGGTCGCTGAGGGTAACCCTAAGAAAGGCGGCGCACCTCACAGAACACCTACATCTCCCTTTCACGCCTCTTGCAGCTGTGCGGCTCTGCCCGTGACAAATCCCACAGCCTCTTGTGGCACCTGCGGCCATGTGCTGCCTGAATGATCTTGGTAAATCTGCATCCGCCCATTGGCTCATCCACTCAAGCCCAAGTCCACCTGTCCTAGACACCTCCCGTCGCACTCTTGCTGGCTCTCAACATTTCATGTGGGAATGCCCAAAAAAATCCTCTCTATGGTTTCCTTCAGTCCGGAAGACACCTTACTGACCAGCAAAAAATCTGTCTGCACCCTAAGCATGGTCAAGTCCCCATCGTCGTAGTTCTCATCCACCGTCACCGGCCTGGGCTTCCGTTAGTCAGCCTGTTTCGTGGCTTCATTGAAGTGGCAAACATGGGTCTCTCGTCCATCTTTTGGACTTGGTGCCAACCTTTCCTTTGGTTTAGAAGGGACACAAAAAAAAAAAGAAGAGCGAACTCCAGTCTTGGGGGTCCCCTAAAAAGAGACACACCCAGATCATCACACGGCTAGACGGCATCTGAGGTATGGGTTCTGTGCTTCTTCGAAGACCCCCCCAAAAAAAAAAAAAAAAACTTCTCATGACTGGCACCTCCCTGTTGGATTTGACGCGAGGGGGTTGTGCTTCAGACGCGAGGGGGATTCCCCTCGGAAGACGAAGTGGAAACGAAGCAGAAAGACGCCTGCCTTTCTATGGTCACAAGCCTTGATATCTCTCTGGGCTGTTCAACATGGTTTGGGTTGGCCACAGTCCCTTATGGGGAAGCTACTCTGAAGGGGACCGAATCCTTGCGTAACCCAAGGTAAGGATTAAGCAGTACCTTTGAACAGCCCAGTCTCTTGCATGTCCGTGATCAAGAATTGCGGAGCTCTCGCTTCCATGAAATCCACAACTGAACTCCAGCACAGAAGTGGAAAGGTCCGCCCTGGAAGAAAAGAAAAAATCGTCGGCAAGGGAAACCTGTTACACTGAAGGGATGAAGGGAAACTGCTAAAGGGTTCCTATCTTTTTGAGACAATTCCCTTGCAGACGCTCAAATGGGCAATACGTGGGCACGAATTTTCATGGGCTTTGGTGGACATCATTTTCAAGGCTCTTCTCAACAATCATGTCTCAAAAATCATGTTCTGTTAAACATATTTGTCTTGTCAGAAGCAGGCTTATTGGTAAACAAAGCCCGGCAGCGACTCGGGGCGCCACCCAGTACGTTGCGCCATCACACCTACCGCTGCTCAGAGGGATGCAAATCTGCGAGGGCCTTGCGGATTTTTCCTCAGAATCCCCGCAAAGGAGATCCTTTCCGGGGATGACACCCTTAGGCTCCAGGGTCGGGAAAAGCCGCATCTCAAGCGGCCGAAGAGGTCGACTACACAAATGGAACTCGGATGGGTGCAATCTTGCCAAGCAGGCCCCTCGGATTCCTCATAAGAATAACCTGGCCAACTGGAATCCTTGTACTGAAAAAGAAGCAACTCTGGCGCCCCACCTTGAAGAGGCCATCTAGTAAGCGGTCTAAAGTTGATTCGATTTGCGCAAGCGAATGAAGGCCCACAAAGAAACCAGATTTGTCTCCAAACGCGGGACCCGCCCCCCCTCAAAAATAAAAATAAAAGATTCCAGAGCCACCAGAAATAAGAGGTTGCCAAACCACCAGAAACCCAAGAAATAAAAAGCT